CCTTCCAAGGAATGGTAAGTCACCAGGGAAATCGTTCAGCTCAAGGTCCTCCTTAGAAGGAAATAACTTCCTCCCTGCCTTTCAGAGTATTTCCTTAAGGTCATATGACACTTCGTATTGATTTTATATTTGTTGGCACCTAAGAGGTCAGGTTAAGAGCAGTGGCACTAGGGTGGCCCTCCCCTGAATAGCTTGAAGCTGTCATTGGTTAAGAGACCTGCAAATCAAATCAACCCAAGGACCCAGCGAGGCAGCTATAGCCTAGACCGGTGTTTCTCAATCCGGTCCACGGGGACCCACAGACAGTCCACGTTTTAGGTGCAAAAATAGGCTGCACAGGGGTGCCATGTGTGAGGTTACTCATGATGCGTTCATGGATTTCATTAATATCTTTATCACCACATTCAGAAAGCCAGGCTTTGTGAAAGCAGTGTATCCTTCTGCTACATGTTTACTACATGCTCTGCTTGACGCAGCTCTCTTCATAAACATTTCCAGACATCGGATTTCACACTTGACAATAGGTGAAAACAAACTCTCTGGCTTCATGGTGCAAAGAAACATTTCAACGCGTCTGTTCCAAAACCTTGGTTGGCCCAGCAAGTAGCCCCATTAGCTCCTAGATTGAGGGTTTGAATCTTACCTCCACACTCTGCATGGAGTTTGCATCTTCCCCTTGTGTTAGGTGGGTTTCCTATGGGTAGCCAAAATACATGCAGCTAGGCCAGGGCTATTCAAATCACGGTCCTCAAGGTCTGAGCCCTGCTGATTTTCCAGCCTTCCTTTACCTGTGAGCTGGGTATGAAGCCTCTGTGACCAATCAGAATCAGTAATTATTAAACCAACTACCTGGGAGAACTGAAAACAAGGCCTGGATTTGGATTTGAGGTCCAGAGTTGAAGATCCCTGAGCTAGGCTAACTGGTGTCTCTAAATTGTCCATCGATTATGATTGCATGTGTGTGTGTTTTAGCCCCGCGATAGGCTGGCATTCCATCCAGCCAGTTCGTCCTTCAGCTTTGTCCTTGCTGGGATCCGCTTGTTAAGTCTGTAACGTAGATGTATAACTGTTTCCAAGGCCAAACAAACCATAACAGTGGAACTGGTAATATTATTCACCATAACTTTTCCTCAGTCAAGCATTGTTTTGGGTAAAAAGGGGGGCTGCATTTTTGTAATTCAACTTTTTAAAAAAGGGAGGGAAAAATGCAAAAGGGAGCCGAAAAAATTCCTTTAATTGAAAGAGAGTGAGTGTAGCTGTTCTCTCAAGTGGAATTATCGTTATATGATTACATGTGCGGTACATCATTTTCGGTTCAATACGCACAATGAAACAAATGAACTCATTTCTTAACAATGGAACCTAAATTCATAAGTTACTGTTTAGCATGGAACACATTATGCTAATTATGGCTGTGAGTTTGTTACAGCTAATCCTGTTTACAGCCAGTCATAATTAGTAGTTCGGGAACATTTTGGTTCCCCAATAAATTACACCAATACTGGAGAGTAACTCAAAAAACCAAGACTGTCCATCAGCTTTGTTATGCTGAACTCGAGTACGTTGCTGAAAACACATCCAATGGGCTAACTCATTTGACATGACATCATCTGAGTGTGTGAATGACGAGCAAGTGCCGTTGGTTTACAACTTTTCCTAATGGTGCCTCAGCACATCTAAAGGTCCTTGAGCAAGGCCCTTAACCCTCAGCTCCCTGGGCGCTGCTACGGGTGGCTGCCCTTTGCGGACAACTTACTCTACAAAGAGCAAGTTGAGGGAGGCGTAAAGACAATTTCCCCACGGGGATTAATAAAGGATCGATTATTATTATTATTAATCTAAGAACAAATTCTCTTTTCCCTTCTGAACCAAAATTGCACGGAAGCATGTTCCCAAAACCAAGGTTTGTACTGAGATGTGAATTTTGTCTATCATAACACCCATAAAACTAAACATGAAAAAATTGTGAAAATGACTGTTTAGTTTACACAGTCACTTCCTCTTTCTGGTGTAAGGAAAAATGTGTAGTTGTTTTTCCACATCAATTTAATACACACAGGTAGAGAACACTGCGGCATATTGGCTTGTAGTAAGGCAGGCTCTGGAAACAGTATTGTCACGTGATTCAAACGTCATGACTTCACAAGCGGATAGGATTGCAGACCCCCCATCCCCCCACCCCATGTGACTGTGACCAAGTTAACCAGTTAGAAAATTGATGAACAGATAGATAAATTGCCTGTAGTGTGTGAGTGTGTATGTGTGTGTGCCCTGCGATGAACTGGCATACTGATGGCATGTGTCCTAGCTCTGTGCTCTCTGCTTATGTATAGCTGTGTGACAGGTCTGTAGTTGGACAACCAGTGGTGACCAAATTCATACCAGAGCTGAGGTTCTCATAGGATTCTCTCCCACGATCAATCTGCTTGGTGACCAATAGAAGCACAAGCCAGAAGAGACAGGCATATTCTTCGCCGTTTCAAATTCTCCAGGCTAAGAAAGTCCCAACCAAACAATGGCGCAGATTCCTGGTCAGATATTGCATCTCCCAGTGGCTTTCTCTCCCTGAGCACCTGGCCAAGCATCACTGTCTCTCCTCTTGTTCCTCCATGGCCACCAGCATTTTTCAACCCTCTAATTGCTGTTCTGTTTTTGGAGAAGGAGAAAGAAATTCACTCTGGAATACTATTGGCTGCCCTCCCGTCACTGTTGCTAAGGGGAATTGCGAATGAAGTATCTGAAGGGAGGCATAATGTCAGAGTACTTTACAGAGGATAGGAAAATATCACTGGATTGAAATATTAAAGCAGCGTCACTCTCCAAATTTTCTAGGAGGTAACTAATTATACATCCTATCAATAGAAATTATTAAGCGAATTTTACGGCAGAGTGTTGATATTTCTGACAGCACTGCTTTAAGGTTTACGGTTGCATTGCATTGGACAGAGTATATCTTGTACATTCGAAGGAACAACTCACACATTGTAATCACAATGATAAATTTATTGCAGCCAACAGAAGGAAATGTCTTGGGACACATTCCAGATCTGAACTTTGTTGCTATCACTCAGAAATTCCCTTACGTGAAGCAAACCTGCCTTCTGGCACAGCATGTGTTTCTACTCTGGAACAAACTACTCCACCATTAACCCGGGGGACAAAAGTCATTAACCTGGGAGGAAAAAGTCAATTTACACAAAAATCCCAGCATATCAGCAAGTGAGGGGATTTTGAACAGATCACTTTTTTAATAGATGATTTTGTCCAAAGCAACATACAAGTCAGGCAAATACGTTATAAATATACAGCTGCCAAGGAGCTGACTAGGCGTAAGTGCAGCTGGGCTGAGTTTCCCATGAATGTCCAGGTAAAGGCGTAAGCAGTACTGGGCAGGATTATGCAGATCTTGAGTTCCGTAAAAAAATCTTCGGTAAAATTGGAAAACAGAAAGGGGGAGGGGCTTCTTTTTCGCTTTGATTGTATGAAGCTTAGCCTAGAGTTATGTAAGCGAGAGGGGAATTTTTAACTCCGTTTTGGAGACTTACAGTAGAACATCAATAAGGTCAAAGGGTAATTTCATGTTAAATTCCATTGTTTCATCCTTAAAGCGATGGACTAGTGGCTCCTCTTTGAGAGGAAGGAGTTCATTTCCAGATGATGTTCTCTGGTGCAGTAGATGTTCGGCACAGTGTTCGCAACTTTCTCCTCCTAGCTTGTGTGTGACACCAGCCTTTCATCAGAGTCTAAGGGTGTGTTCCATTTGAACTGGGAAGTTGGAGTTTCCAGTTTCTTAGAAATTTCAACTGAAACGCCTCCTGAAGTCAGAGTTCTGACTCAAACTTGGGGGAACCTTATAAACCTCGACCTCAGAATTCTCGACCTCAGCAGTGGTTATATACTGTTTATACTATGCATACTGTATGTAACTACTGTTCTTTAGCACTAATGCCGACATCCCACCTCTCCCAGCAGTTCCGTGAATCTCTCACAAAGTGACAGCAGCTCTCTGGCAGCTGAAAATGATGTACAATGTTACGGAAATCTGTCATTCCAGTATTCAGCAGTGATAAAATTAGCTGGCAAGAACTTTTACCCCTGCAACCTTGCCCCAAATTTTACCACCACTCTAGCCCCAGTCAGCAACCCCCAACCCCGTTGGCTATATATATATATATATATATATATATACACACACACACACACACACACACACATACTGTATAGCTACATATATACATACATATATATACACACACACATATACATATATATACATATATATATACACACACACACACACACACACACACACACACACACGGTATTACTGTAATACCAGCAAAGCATTGGCCAGCACCCCCCCCCCCCACACTCTTCTAGATGCCCCTCATCTGCCTCCCTGAAATCAATATTTCTAAGCTGCTACATTTGCTTTTGTCTTATTTGTGTAAGTGCATATATGACCATTAAACTGGTCATATATGCAGTTCTGTCCAAACTGTGACCATGTTGCTATAGTGTTCGCAATATGTTATCAACTGGTATTGCGAACAATGATCCTGGCTAGACCTGGTACTGCTAATGGCTAACCTGTCTAGTTGCACTGGAACGCAGTTAACTTGGGCATGATGTCACTCCCAGCTCCGACTTCCAAGGTAAATGGAATGCAGCACAAGACAAACCATGTTCGATCACAGCCAGGCAGGAACCATACGAACGATTTAGTCCCTTGGCCATCCTACGCTGTCAGGCGGAATGCGGAGTCTTTGTTTGCTTGATTACAGTTCAGAAGCTGGAATTGTGTTGCAAAGCATTATAAAAACCAGTAACGTAGCAAAACGCTAGACATTATATTTATGATTTTACCCTCATTTATGGGGATATAACCAGCCAGCCACAGGGTAAATACACATACAATAAGCTGCAGTGGTGACAGACCAAGGCACTGACCGTGGATTGGTTGCATTTGGTATAAACAGGACAACTGAAGACCCACAGAGCACATATACTATATCGCTGAGGTTTGTTTATTTAATATTAAACAAAATTGAAACTTGAAATTGACATTTCTTAAAATAAAAAAAGGAACACACAATAAATAAGTTATAACACTTCATTTAAAGTCGTACACCACCACCAACCCAGGTCATTCCCAAACACACATGTAGCAACCCTATAAGCCAAGTTCACCAACTAAGTCTGAGGTATACAACTGGTTTTACATGCTCAGAACTAGACACAAAAATGTGGTTTGAGTGTAAATACCAGGGATATCAATCCCAAATGGTTAAAATACATTCTTAAAAGCATGTTGCATTATTTAAAGAATCCATTATGTGGAGAAACACATAGAACCATGGCCAACATCAGAAAAAGGCCACTAACCTACACCGATCGAGTGTGATAGGAGGAAGTACTCTAGGAGATTGTGGGAGATGGAAGCTGGTGACATGCTCTGCGGGAGCAAGCCTTCAGTTTGTGGTCCTTCTTAAACATGAGGCAGGATACAGTTCTATGAATGTCCCTCAAAACACAAGTCCTTCCAAGGCAAACCTTGCAGGTTCACAGTCCAGATGGAGCAGTGTCTCATAGTAAACATCGGCAAGTCCTTATCTGATATAGTTGCCGCCACCAATCTCCCTCTTGTACCGGTTGGTGAGGTGGTCTGCCTGCACTGTGAGCTTGGACAGGACCCCAAAAAGCCCCCGCAGGTGAAAGTGGAACTGGCCCTCCAGGTCTGCCCCATCATCCACAAAGCTGCCACCACAAACCTCCTCCTGTTGCCGTTTAGCAGTCCTGTCCACAAAACCTCCAGCACAAAGTTCCCTCCTCAGAAGACCCCATTCCATGTCATTCCGGATCGACTTCACTAGCAGGTAGCGCTCATACATGTCCCTCTGCTTGCTGGGAAAAACGGTTTCTTCATTATTGTTGGATGAGGGCTGGGTCAGCGGCTCATCCACAGGGACATCCCGCAGCACGCTGGGCACCATGATCGTCTCGTCCATGTTGTTGGCGGCGGCGATGAAGCGATTCATCACGTTCATCAGGGAGTGCTTATTGCAAGACAGCTCGCCATACATCTGCATCATCATCATGGCGAAGCACCCCAAGTCTAGCTGCCAGAAGGGTGATTGTTGATACGACTGAGGACAGCAGGTGTTAAGTCACCAAGCAAGCAATGGTGAGGAATACGAACCTGCAAGGAGCAGAAGAGCTCAAGTCAGAGCAACCGCTTAACAGAAATCGGGGATCTACAGATTAACACCCACGTGCTGAAACTAGAACAAGACATACGCGATACGTCCTCTAATCTGACAGACTGAGCCACAACACAAGCAACTGCCAGATATTAACCCGCGGATCATTTTAATCAGTAGCCCCCCCCGTTAATTTTTTTACGAAAATGCAGGTGCAGTGCGATGTTAATTCATGAACGTGTTAATCTGCGGACATTTAAAACCACTAACAAACACCACAAAACCACCCTTTCGGTGTCGGGGGATTTCAGGTATCAGAAAATACTTGCAGGGATACAAGCTAAGACTTATGATTTAACATTTTAAAAAGCAACTCTAATTAAATTAACACGTTGTAAATGACAAAAGAAAAAGGACAAACCTGATGAATTCACAGGGTGAGCCACACCGTCGTCAATAAATATATGAAATTCCCCCAAAACACCACACTGTGTACTAGTCTACCTCAGGTTACACACGCAGCAGAAACCGCTCACTTTCATGTAATTCACCAGCTCACGCTTCGTCTTATATATATACACCAGGAGAGTCCACTCGAGGGGAAAAAGGGATGCTCCGCCTAATCTGAAACGGACCAATTACATGAGAGGACGGGGTCGCTCTTTCGCTGCAATGGCACAAACGGCATCCAATGAGAGAATGCCACTGTTGGTTGCTGTCGAATGGCGTGGAAGCTCTGCGGGTTTGCCAACAATGGTCCCGCCTACATATTGCATTTCGCTTCGGCTTTCGGTGCTCGAAATAGTTTCGGCAACTATTACTGGTTTCTAGGTGTAGAGATTATCGAGTGAGTTCCGAGCAACGGTTACTCTTGGTCAAGAGATACCTTTCAAAAATCAGCCAAATTTCCAATTCAACTCAAAGCGTTGTATCGTTGTTGTATCCGACTCTTTATTATAAATGAAATTTCATGCATCTTACTTGTAGGTAAAATGCATGAGGCTTATAGCCTTGTAAACATTTTTCCAGACGTTCAACATTTCAAAAGAGCTACATGGTAAGTTCCTTTATTGGAACACAGGCATAATTATGATCTGACTGGTGACACGTACGTCGTCACCGGCATGGGATATCCGACTGGCACGCCGCTTGTTACAGGGTACAGCGACAGTATTTGGCAGCACTGACATTTTATCAAATTGTGAATGACCGGCAATCAGCTCCCCCTGGCGAAAGTGCCAAATATTCGTCGAGGCTAATATGGCACCATGCAGGAAACACAAGAAATCAAGGTTTGCGTTATAATCAATTTTAAATTTATTCTTTCTTCAAGCATTTTACAAGCTGAAATAATCATTCGGAAAGTTAACAGGTAGATTTTAATACTGATGTAATTTCTTTGTACAAATACAGGTAGATCCAAAAAACTCAAAGAATGAATTAGGTATGTCTTAAGGCTAGTTACTTAAATCACTGTAAATACTTTAACTACACCAAATACCTTATGATAAGCCATACAGTTTACTGGAGCATGACTTTCCGGTTTGCTTGAGAGAAAACTATAGAATCAAATACCCTCCATTCAGGTTCACCTTCCACCACAAGGTGGCGATCAATTGGATCATTTCTACCCTCTCCATTCATGAAGAATTACTTGAATGAATATGCACGTTGGCCTCTTTTTGAGTCACAGTGACCGGTCTTCGGATGTTTCACTGTTTTGTTGAAGAATCATTAAATTCCAGGTGTTGTCCCATCTGTTTGCTTTACAATGTGATTCATTTGCAGCCAATAAGACACATGGAAATAGCAACACAGAGAAATGCAAAATTTTAATGAAGACCATAATTCCATTAAAGTAATTTACTGATAATGTTATTACTTTCTAATGCCGAGATGCAAGAACCATAAATCCAAAGTCCAGCAGAGAGCAAAAAATACCATAACAAAAAGGACAGGATATGTATCAGGCAGAAAGAGAACAGCGACTCCACTAACAATACATTTTCATGATGCAGATTTCAAACCATATATCACATCTTATCTGAAAATAAGTTACAGGCATAAGTCACAACTTAATCCCGTCAAGGAACATTAGAAGCTTGAAACACTGTGAGACAGTTCACAAAAATGGTCCCTTAAGTAATTCTCATTTTATCTTCCCTTCAGAAGCTACAGTGAATCGAAAGGCTTAAAAAGCAGTAAGACATTTCTAAAACGAAAAGGGCTAACACACACACACACACACACACACACACAAATACAAGGTTAAAAACTATGAGAGTTGAGAGTTCCCTTTAAGGCAGCATCCATTTGTGTCCTGCAAGACAAAATCAGGGGAAGCCCCAAAATAAATATCTGGAAAAAAACCAGGAACTAAAACATAACCCCCAACCACCACACCCACACAGAGTCATCACTGACGTTAATGAATAATCAACACCAAAGTAATTATCACCTTCAGAGTTTCTGAATGTAATTAAGCTTTCTTAAGGTCCTTTATCATGTTTAACAGCACAAACCACACCCTGGTCAGAAAAAAACGACATTAGAAAGTTAAAGTGTTGACCGAATGCAATTCCTCCCTAAAAATCAGCAGGGCGTTTCTGCAGAGTAAGACTGGTCAGGCAGATACCTGAACATGAGGCTGTACTTAAAACCCTGACTGCACTCAGACAGGAGGCAAAGATGTCCCCGGGGAGGGGTGACATCAGGGGCAACAGAACATTTACTATATCTGAGCCTGGCTCTTTTTATTTGTCCCAACGCCCATTTCAGTCACATGTGTTGACACTAAAACTGCATTGTCTGGTTCCTCCCCACTGTTAAAGCTGCCCCCCCCCCCGCCACCGATAAATAAAGCCCCCCTCTCCCACGACCCCTCACAAGGCCCCGTCTGCCGTCTCACTCAGAACGAGTCCAGCATCCACTACAAAAAAAAGGGGCACTTGCAGAAGCAGAGTGACGGACCTCATGTGAGACAGCAGCTCCCGTATTGAGGCTAGACCATCTCATACTGGTTGTTGGTGATGTACCGGGACAGGCAGCAGGCCAGGAAAATCCCAATGAGCTGAGGAGAAGGTGCATAGCATTAAAAAAATAATAAAAAAGACGACAGGTTTTGCAGATTCCGGAAGCGTCCGGCTTGTGGCTCAGCAGAAGCCAGATAAATGGGAAACATACTGCAAGCAGATACAGACCTGGAAGAACGCTATTCCGAAGGATATGCCTGCAATGATTCCCAGGTTGGACTCCATCACACCTGTCACCAGCACGAAGCATCCCTGGAAACAGACAAGACGCACACATTCAGCCATTTAAACACCAGGTACACAGGCGTTGTTGCTGCCTGCTCCCCATCGGGCTCACCGTGACGTAGACCTCGTCGGCGGCCTTCTCCAGGTCTTTGCGGACATCCGGGGTGCAGTTGGTGGTGTCCTTGCAGCAGCTGGCGGGAATGCCATCCTCTTTGAAATAGCTGGTGTTCTCCCAGTCCGTGTAGTTTCTTACGCCACAGCATTTCAGCTGTGCAGGTAACAAACACATACAATATTCTGCCATTCTGTCCTATACAGAGCAGTGTGATCGTGTTAAACACAAATCTCTACGCAATAATTAGCTGGTGGACCTGGGTAGGCTCCAGTCTAAGGAGACAGCTGGGGAATTTTCCACACACACAATCATCATTATTATTATTATTAGTAGCAGCAGCAGCAGTCGAAATGCATGTTTACACACAGAACAGGGAGGGTGACGCTCTGTGAGGCTCTCCTCCCACCAAGCACGGAGCTGCCCCAGCAGAACCGACAGCTGCAGCTCGGATGACAGCATTATTAACCCTTCAGTCACCAATGAGGTTTGGGGGGGGGGGGGGTTCTGTTACCCCGGGATATTTATTTCTTGACACATTTCCCTAAATTATCATGTGATTCATGCAACCGTTTTAGATAAGTATGACAAACACACTTAATCCTTGATTACAACTTATATTTAAGATTATAGCCAAAATGAATCACTCCAGGCAATGCGATGGAATGTGTTTTTAAGCAAGTAACGGTTGCCAGAATATTCTGGGCTCTTTTCTTTAATCTACAAACAAACCATAATTAAATATTTATATCAGGATGTGTACATGTTACTTATGAAGCCCTGAAACATACAGTGAAGAGAAACAGCCTTTCAAATTGCTTCACTATACATTTGATTATTGTATTACTATCATGTCTAATAATGTAACGTGAGCAACTACTGCTGGAGATTACAGCTCTATCTATAAACACCGATTCTGGAATCCTTCTTTAAACATTTTTAAGTGTCCTGTGATTCCATCTCCAACCTGAGAATATCCGGCATTTCTGACATGCGAGGGCGTTCTGGCTACTTTGAAGCACAGCACCGGAAGACACTTACACTCCTCTGGATGGTGTCCACCGCCTGGCTTGTGTGGTCTTTGCCGTCGTAGTTTTTAACAGCTTCGTCATACTTGCTGCTAAATTTGGCCTTTATCTGAAAAGCAGCAGAGCATGAACTGAAAGACCGGCGTCTCCCCCCCCCGAGCCATCCCACAATGCACCGCTTACAGTTTTTTAAGGGATGCTAAGATGGTGGGACACTCGGCGTTATCTTCTGTTCGTTTTGTGTAACATTTCCTGCAAAACCTGGGAGAAGAGGCTCTACGGGAAGGAAATCCATACCTCGTGTCTGAAGAGGAAGCCGGAGATTCCTGCCACAAGTTCAGCCAAAAACACCAGCGTCAAAAACATGGCATACTGGGGGGGGACGGGGACACACAAGAGAACCATGTCAAGAGACGTATTCATTTAGCACAGACCCCTTTGGCAGCATACCACCCCCCCCCCCCCATACTCACCAGCTTCAGCATCCAGGTGCTTCCGCGGCAAGTGGCAAAGCAGCCGAACAGGCCAAAGATGACAATGACCGCGCCAGTTCCAATGAGGACGTAAGGGGCGTTAGTGCCCTCATCCGTCGCCAGGGAGATGTATGCCTCTAGACTCACCTTTCCCCAAACACCCACCGCCAGCAGAATGACTCCTGTGAACTAAAAGGGGAATATCAGATGGAGGTAGCCCCATTTTTAACACCTAGCCTCACTGCCGCGCAGCCATCCCACACACGCCCATATCATGTGTTCAAGAGGTGGCAGTTACGTGCTTCAACAATGTGTTTTTCCAGTGAACAAACCCTCAGATTAAGTGCCTTGTGAAACGCCACTGGGAAGCACCTAGGAGAGGCAGTCACAGACCATCTCTAATGCATAGCACGGACCCCAGTCCCTTTCAAAACTGCATTAGAGGCAACCGGTAAAATAATTTTAACAGGCTTGGCCTGTTGATTCTGCCCCCGGGGTCATTAAAAGGTATGAATCAGTAGTCCATCTGGCAGGAGATGCCAAGCCATCTTCCTTACAGCTATAAATTGCAGGGTTGCAGCGTACATATATGGACTTTGTTCATATAAGTGCTTTAAGACTATTAATTAGCAAAAGTCCAAGTTATATTATGACGATACATTTTAAAAATAAAAATTAAAAAACGATCCCCACACTGAAAACTTTATTTGTATGATTTAGTTTATTTACACCGCTATAAAAATCAAGGTAACGTCTTTGAAAAATACAGCAGGCCTACAGCAATCGTATTCACGCCTCCGGTAAATTGCATCTGTTGTGTTGGCAATGTCCTTTGAGCTAAAATTACGAGAACCAGCGACACCTGTTAATTCATCAGACTGAATATTAAATTAAAAACAGCCGTCGTACACGCGATGCATAAATTACTTATCACTCTATTGTTTAAAATTACCATGAAGAGTAAGAGTTTTTCCAGATCACTTCCCTTCCCTAAACAATGGAATAGCGTACGGTTGGGCTGCGCAGTGAAAAAAAAATACAAATGTTTTATATCGGAGTGCAGATACCGGCATGAAAATAAACACACTGACGAAGAAATACAAAGTATGGAAACCAGAAGCAAAAAAAAAAAAAACAGAACAAACAACAGATGTCCAGAAAACAACCCCCCCCCAACCCCTCCTTAAGCTAAGCTGGCCACGCAAGACCCGTGTTTATGCGAGTTTGAAAACAGTCGCGGAAATACTTTGTATCGCATTACCAAACGCATATTTAACTTATTTGGACTTAAGAAAGCCCATACAGCGAATCACCAGGCTAGATTTTCATGCTTCAAAAAAGTAAAACTTGTATATAGTAAGGATTTTAGTAACGTGCTGCCAGCACCGCCTGCCCATTGTCCTCTCCGTATCCTGCGCTTAGGCGCAACTCACCCAGAATATCAGGCTGTAAGAAATAAGGAAGGTCTTCAGGCATGTTATCACGGGTTTGGTCTGCAGCCGCCTAGAGGGAGAAGACATTTTGTCCCGATTTTGCCACCGTTTCCTTTAAATAGCTGTATCGGTTTAAAATGCGTCGCTCTTGAAACACTTCCAAACTTTTTCCTGCCAGCGTCTTTAGCAGAAAAAAAAAACTTTCACTGGGCGATGAGAAGGGAAATGTCGTCACTGATTAGGAGTCACTTTCCGGTGGGGGAATAAAGCATGCACCCTCCGATCGGGGAACAGATCCTTTTTGATTCCCTAACTTCACTCTGGTACAGAACAACCCCCGGGGGAGGCTGTTGCTATAGGAATATCCTGTCAGTTTGTGATGTGGCCGCCGTCGCGTATGATTGATGGCGCCTTTCACTCCTCCGGGACACGAATGTTTTGCAAATTGACGGGTGGGACTACATCCAAGCTTTTAGTTTACAAACCCCTGGGATCATATTTGACAGTTTGACGACATCCATTCTAACTTGAGACTTCCTCTGAATGTTAATTTGTTATATAAAGTTGTTTAATATGCACAAAATTGAGGTAGACACACATGGTTCTGGAGGATTTTAAAAACCCGAATGGTCCCACATACAGAGTTGGACATTATCACTCTTAGAGTCCAGAATTGTAATACCTAGTGTCAGGATTGCCACTGCTGAAATGTAGAGTTCCACAGGGATCAGTTTTAGAGTCAGTATTATAACATAGATGCGTGGCATGATTTTAATAATAAAGAAGAGACAGCTCTTTACAAGAAGGAACAGAAGTTCTGTGTTTATTCACAATGTGCTGGCAGAAAAACACACAAACTACACGGTAAACATTATAAGGGTACAACACTTATTATTTAAAACATTAAATACATGACTGCACACATTAAACAACACATTTATATATGCTATCTGCACCACACAACACAAGCCATGCTGGTAGTTGTAATAATCAGTCACTCAAAACCAGCCCTGGGGTGTTACACTGCCCCCACCTGAGGAATCAGCCATTTCCAGCGGCCCCCAAGTTAATCACAATATCCCACAAATGCTGAGGGGACCAGCGCTGCCACCACAGCCTGCATGTCACAGTCCCCAGAGTCCCCAGCATACCTCCATCCTCTGCCACATCCTCGTCCTTAGCCTCTCCAGGGGCATCAGGCTGGGCATGGGGGCAATATGGCGCTAGGCGATCCCTGTGCAGGACAACAGCCACAGGTGGAGGACAGCCTCAGTCAGGCACTCAAGGATCTCTCTGAGGTCTTCTCCAATGACCGTCCAGCTTGGACAACCGTCTCTTCTTGTGAAGGGGACAGTACACCCAAACTGGGTCGCTGATGTTAAAGTCCTACCGGAGGCTGCGTACATCATAGTTGTGTTTCTGTTGGGTAGTCGCTGCACTTTGGTGCTGCTGAGTGAGCTTGTGGACATCCCTCAGATGCTCCTGGAGGCACCACAGGAACTTCATACCTGGCTCCCTCGGTACCTCAGACTCAGAGGTTTGCTCAAACACCAAGTCCACTGAGACAGGCTTCGATGACAGCCAGGAGTTCACGGCAGGTCATGCAATAGTTAAACTATAGTTACAATAGTTACACTTTGGGTGGCTCAGAATCTGGCTGACGTATCCACCACCACAACCCTTTCAGGGTCCGCCAGCATGCTGTCACCACTCACCATGTGACCTAGGAACTCTCTCTGTCGCCAGAGCAGGGAGTAGTTCTGGGATCGAGGTGCAGACCAGCTCTGCGGATGTCAGCGAAAACGGTGCGCAAATTGTTAAGCACTCCGTCGAAGTCAGCAGTGTGGAAGGACAGATTGTCCAGGTAGATGACAAATTGGCTGCGGGGGACATGGGCCAGCATTCGCTCCATCAATCTCCAAAGGTAGCTGGGGCATTACAGAGCCTGAACGGCATAGACCCGAAGTGCCATAGACTTTGACTAATGTTGAATGCAGTCTTGGGTCGGGCTCCTGGGGCCAATTCGACCTGCTAATAGCCACTTCAGAGGTCTAAGGAGCTAAACCACATCGATCTGGTGATATAATCTAGATTGTCTTCGATCTGGGACAGCAGGTAAGAGTCCTTCCAGATCACGGCATTCAGACACTGAAAATCAACAAAAAAAAACACCATGACCCATCCTTTTTTTGATCAGGACCACTGGCACAGCCCACAGATTGATGGTTTGATGACACCCACTGCCGCCATTCCCTGGATCTTCTGCTCGGCTACCTGACACTTGACAAATGCCAGCCAATGAGGTCGCAGATGGATTGGTTGAGCATTACCACTGTTGATCCAGTGTTGGACGAGTGCAGCTGGTTTGCACTCATCATCACGAGCCATGAAGATGTCCACATATCTGTCCAGCAGGGTCCTCAACTGGCGCTGCTGCTCCGCTGACAGGTCCATGGTGCTCCGTTGTCATAATTCGTAAACTGTCTGCACTGTATCCAGAGAAGGTCCTGGTGTCATGCTGTCACACTTTTTTTGAGCTGGAAAATTTGGTTGTATGTTGGGGGGGTACCAGAGCAGTGGGAGTCAAGATGGCAACTGCCATGTCTGTTGGGTTTATTGCCAGCTGCCGTCTTGCCGAGGGGTCACCACATGGATGCCGAGATGATGCGCGCCCCCAGCTAACAGAGCAGGTCCAGTCCTACGATGCAGGGGTCACAGGTATCTGCAAGCCACACTTCCTGCTCTGTGGTCCATTCCACCAGTGTGATACAGATCCACCTCTTCCCCCTCATCAATGTACACATGCTGGTGATGGACACAAGTCAGACCTGGGTTCCCTCTCACCCTGGCGGGGCCGTTTGGTTAGTGCCACGGAGGCTGGCCAGGTGAATGAAGGTGATGGTTGACCCTGTGTCCACCAATGCCCAGCAGTGACTGAAGATGGTGCCGAGGAGGACAGTTGCAAGCTCGTACACTCTGCAGCACTGTTATGTTTTTGTTCATGTTTTTGTTGTTTACCTCACTTACAGCATCTGTTATATGTAAGTTTACATATGATCACCAAACTTTGCTGGACATCAGATCAAGGAACACTCACCACAAATCAGACTTTGAGTTCTTCAACGAGGACCCATTGCTTGGTGACACTCCGCTGGGCAACACCGAAACATTTCCATTCACTGGTGTTGTCCGTCCACCGAAACGCCGCCGGAGAAGGAGAAGCGGCAAACAAGCTGCCATTCTGGTGAGACTAAGATGCGTATAAACCCAGGTTCCACTCTCGAGCATGCTTCTGGCTAAAGTTCAGTTCCTGGAGAACAAGCTCTGCAAGCTCCAGGCATGGATCTCATTCCAGTGAGAGACACAGGACTGCCCCATTAACTGCCTCACAGAAACCTGGCTGTCGGAGGAGGTACCAGTCCCTGCCATCAAGCTGCCAGTGTTTTTCGTGCACTGGGAGGATAGTACCTGAGACCTCGTGGGGAAATGCAGGGGTGGAGTATGCTTTATGATCAAAAATTCCTGGTGTGTTCCAGGAGTGTAGACATTGTTAAGTCCTTCTGCTACCCCTACCTGGAGTTCCTGATGATCATGTGTCGGCCTTTCTGGCTACTAGGGCAATTCTCAGTAGTTACCTGTACAGCTGTCTACAGCCGTGGCCAAAAGTTTTGAGAATGACACAAATATTAATGTTCACAAAGACTGCTGCCTCAATTTTTATGATGGCAATTTTCCTATACTTCAGAATGTTATGAAGAGTGATCAGATGAATTGCAATTAATTGCAATGTCCCTCTTTGCCATGAAAATGAACTTAATCCCAAAAAGTCCATTTCCACTGCATTTCAGCCCTGTCACAATAGGACCTGCTGACACAATTTCAGTGATTCTTTCGTTAACACAGGTGAGAGTGTTGATGAGGACAAGGCTGGAGATCACTGTGTCATGCTGATTGAGTTAGAATATCAGACTGGATGCTTTAAAATGAGGATGGTGCTTGAAATCATTGTTCTTCCTATGTTAACCATGGTTACCTGCAAGGAAACATATGAAGTCATCACTGCTTTACACAAAAACAATATTGCTGCTAGTAAGACTGCACCTAAATCAACCACTTATTGGATCATCAAGAACTTCAAGGAGAGAGGTTCAATTGTTGTGAAGATGACTTCAGGGCTCCCAAGAAAGTCCAGCAAGCACCAGGAACGCCTCCTAAAGTTGATGCAGCTGCAGGATTGGGGCACCACCAGTGCAGGACTTGCTCAGGAATGGCAGCAGGCAGGTGTGAGTGTATCTGTATGCACAGTGAGGTGAAGACTTTTGGAGGATGGCCTGGTGTCAAGAAGGGCAGCAAAGTAGCCACTTCTCTCCAAGGAAAACATCAGGGACAGACAGATATTCTGCAAAAAGTACAGAGATTGGTCTGCTGAGGACTGGGGTAAAGTCATTTTCTCTGATGAATCCCCTTTCCGATTGTTTGTGGCATCTGGAAAAAAGATTGTCTGGAGAAGAAAAGGTGAGCGCTACCATCAGTCCTGTGTCATGCCAATAGTAAAGCATCCTGAGACCATTCATGTGTGGGGCTGCTTCTCAGCCAAGGGAGTGGGCTCACTCACAGTTTTGCCTAAGAACACAGCCATGAATAAAGAATGGTACCAAAACATCCTCCAAGAGCAACTTCTTCCAACCATTCAAGAACAGTTTGGTGATGAACAATTCCTTTCCCAGCATGATGGAGCAGCGAATATTTTGGACTTGGAAATTTCTTAAATCAAAAGGAAATTTCTTTTTAAATCTTTAACTGCTTTTGCTTTCTTTTACCTTTTTTCCCCAACTCATATTATATGAAAGTCCACGGGAAATTTTTGTATGGCGAGCGTATGTTAAGAAAAATACCAAAAAAAAAAAAGAATTGAACAGGATTGTTACTAACACATATTGCATATGGAAATAAATCTAAAGAGGTTTTCTTACAGTTGCACTGAAACATGAATCGTGCTGAACAAGTAAGGGAAAACTCACAATATCGATGTATATCGTACAGAAGCAGGAATAACAATCTCAGTTCATCTACGATATAGTCCTTACTTGAAGGGGCAGTGTGTGGCTCAGTGGGCTAAGCCATGTGCCTGTAATCACAAGGTCACTGGTTCAAACCCAGCCTCAGCACATCTGTGGGTCCTTGGGCAAGACCCTCAACCCCCAGCTCCCTGGGTGCTGCTACAGGTGGCTGCCCTTCACAGACAGCTTACTCTACAAAGAGCAAGTTGAGGGAGGCGTAAAAACAATTTCCCCACGGGGATCAATAAAGTATCAATTATTATTATTATTGTAGTTTCACAGAAGTGCTGTGCACTCAGTATGCACTGCAATAATTAAAATAATTTCTGACAGAAACTGACACTACAATAAGACTGACAGAAACTGACACAAGGAAAACTTAAAAGCTATTTTTTCAGTAAAGAATTTTCTTGATTTTTCATTTTACACAATTGCATGTGTAGTTATAATATCGTTATGAATATGAAATGAGTTGTACACCCTACTGTAGTGTTTTGTTTCAATTCTTAACTTCGGTTTGCCTTTTGATTGCACGCTAGGCTATTCTTATTTTATCCTTTTTTATAAATATGTATTCTGAGCAGCAAAAAGAACACCACCAAAACACGATATCATACAGCTTTTTTTCCTGTGAATTTCATTTAGGGCCTTGTTCCTTTAAAAACCGAAACGCCGAGGCCCCAGATGAAGACCGTAACAACTGTCCCTAGCGGCGGGCGAGTCAGTTACACGAAGTGCGAAGCAGCGCAACCATCTAACGGCGAATACCAGAGGTAGGCGACTGTAACTCTACCTGTGCTTTATTGCAATTTAACGTCACAATGTGAGCATTTTATTTTGCATTTATGGAATGAACAAATCTTCAGCAATTACTCATCTCTAAAGATTTCGATCGTCCTCCAACTAGCGGTGTAATAATGCTTTTGTTACTGTCACGTAAAAAAAATATTAAATAATTTTCACGCGTACGTTCAGTGTTTTCCTTTCTGAAACAGAAAAATGATTGCTTTTGGAATGATACTTTTCTTCCGTTTTCTCTCATCACAGTAATTCGCATCGAGGAACTGAAATGGCAAATCTTCATTTTCTTTTATTCCTGAAAGTGTGCGCTTTGGCGGAGGTTGCTGCTCGAAACGATGGTATGTCTTTACTGTGTTAAAGAGGAATCCTTCTCTGTTCTCTGACCTGTGTGATGAATTACTTTGCATTATGTTGTACTTCTGTTGATGTCCTATAAAAATGTGCTTGAACACATTCAGACTTAACTGTCGTTGGCGTGCTTTACTTGCAGCTCTCTTAGTCACCCCTTTTCTGCTTGTGTATGATTTTCATGCAGACAGAGTTTGTGTCTTGTATTAGAAGCAGCTGTTGTAGCGTCTGCCAGCTTCTTGTACTAAGTGATGAAGCTACTTCAGGACCGTGAAGACAGTGTGAAAATTTTGGCATTCACTGCTCACTGTTTCCTATAAGGATATTGTGCATTGTCTACCCCACCCCCACAGCATCCATACTTACTATAACAATTCTTGGAAATTGACCAAAGTTCCAATCGGTGTTTAGTTTTTTTGTAATCCCCGGTCCGGTTTTATTACACAGAACGGATGTAGTTAACGCCTCAACGGAGAGGTCTACCACGTGGTCCTTACATTAAATTAAATCCTAAAATGCTTAATAGGGAGTTGGGAACAAAAGTACAAGTAAAATTGAATGTTATAAAACGAAATATGTTGAAAAAGGTAGAAGACACGAGGGAAAGAAATGCAGAATAGCTCTAGGAGAAATCAGTGATTGCCAGTAAAGTTTTAATGATTATTATTCACAAGGCTGTGACAATTACTAACTCTGTTTAGCATGATTTCTTTAAAATGATAAATCAATTTTTCTTTTCACCATGACTGTAAAACAGTGATGTACTAAAAGCCTTTTTTTAATTGCTGATATACAACATCCAAATACCCTTACATAAAAATATCAATGCATCATTAAAATGTAAGAAAACAAAATAAAAAAATATATAAAAAGTATCTAAACCCGTTGCTTGGTTTTTCCCATGCTTAAACGCACCGCATGTTAATTTCACAAATAATAGGCCCACAAGTGCTGTGAATGGTAAACAAGAAAGATAATTAATTTTGTGCTGAAACCTTGTGTCTCAATGGAAAAATAATCTAAAACATCTAGATGGTTTGGCTTACGAGCTTGAAAATTAGACTAGTTTCACTTTTTCTTTTACCGCATTAAAACAACTTTCATAAATTGCGCCACACCAAACATAAATCGTCTATAAGACTCTCGTTAGATGTGCAATGAAATAGCGTCTAGCCAATCACGATCCGAACGTCATAGACGGGGGCGGGTCTGAGGCTTCGCACTCTGGAGCGCGGGTATAACCTTCACGTGGTAGTGGAAAAATGAACCTTTGTGGTGCGGCATGCATCGACTCCACGGTGGAAAAACAACATAAGAGCCCAAGTCCCAGTCATTCTGCATATGGAAGCAGAACCACTGGGGGGAAATTCATCGTGCTTTAAAACATGAAGTATTTATCTTACACAACATATGCCTTTGTTTTTTTTTTAAAGTACCGACATTGATTATATTGATAAGAATACCCCGTCTTGTTATAACCTTTCTGAAATCGGCAGGTTTAGATCCTGAAGTGCCAGTGACTAACATATGCCATTTGTGTGCGTGGCAGTGGTAAACCATTTATTTTATTGTTAATTATACACACAATTCTGGCATCTGCCCTCCCTCTGGTGCAAGTGCCTGGGAAGAGCCATAATTAAACAGCACAATGTCACCCAAGCATCTCAGCAAAAGCAGGGTTGTGAAGGTGACCTGTTTGCTGTCTTATTCATCTGTTTCCTATAACAGGTTTTTAAGGTGCCTGAATATCTGTGATATCTGAGACCGTGCAGCAATTCAGGGCCCAGTGAGATTTTAAAACCTGTGATTACTGTCTGCTGTTGACTGCAGACTGGTTTAATCCTCCTGGTTTGTTGCTCTATTGGCTCTGGGATTAAATCAAGGCAGGGAGGTCCCACCTCCCCAGTGCAGTTTTCAGAACTTATTTCTCCCATCACTGAACATTTAGCGTCTGCTTGGGTGACATGGGCATCTAGAGATGCTGAGGATCAGTGATGTGAAAGTAAAATTGAATCCCTCCTTTTAAAGCTGGTGGGAATATGCAGCCCTGCAGGCGAAGCTCATCACCAAGGGTTTGCGTGAAATGCTGCACAGATTTCGGTCTGTCATTGACAAATCTTTCATTTCTGATGCTTTGTGAGTGTGGTTTTCTGTCAATGCAACGGCGATGTCCATCATATGGTTGAGCCATGATAACCACACCTGGTGGAACAATCTAAAGGTTTATGATTCGATTTAGCAGGGTCTTTAAATAGTGTACATTCTTCATTATCGGATGCCATCTCTGGTCCCCTTGGGCACCCTGTACTGGACAAGCGGATGACACATATGAACGGAAATCTAAAGCAAATGATAAAAACCTGGCACTACATTTAGTAAGACTGCTAGGTTTTTTTAATGTCTGTCGGCTTATGATGAATTTGTCATTAAGCAAACATCCTCCTCCTAAACTTCTCATCCTGCATGCCAAAGATGAAAAGCGAAGATAAGACGTCTCCCTCTTTTTCTGTCAGACGATAATCAGTGCACAATTAAAATCTCCGTAACGCTGAAGGCGGCTTGACGTGTTGTAAGGGCCTGACCCAAGGCCTGGCAGAAACAGACACCCCTGCTTTTTCGCCCCCAAGCCTCCCGCCTGCCCTTTCTTCAGAGCTGCCCACACCTCACCCACCAGACCCATTGGCTACTTGCTTGGCAACACAGCTGAGTGGCATGAGCAGATACAGTCACACTGCTTCCCACCAGAGTGAAAGCAGAAGGCCAGCTGTGCCCTGCCATAGGCCAGTGGTACCTGGCTTGGGCTCCCACCAATGGTACGCAGCTCAGGCTGCCACTCCGGGAACCATTCTCGTGTTTTATGAGAGCCCCTCAAATCCTAATGGCCTTCTCACGCAGCCTTTGTAAACAGGCATTCTGCAGCATGCTATTCTGTAAAATATAGTTCCACTCTGAGGGAACAAAGTTTAAAACTTTCATAAAATCTGCACCTTAAAGTCTGTGATTCTGTGTTGGAGAAGATGTTGGAAGATGGATGGATGGAGGCACTTAAAAGATGTATCTCGTGATTTTTTTTTCCAGGTTGAAGGAACAGTGTTTGCTCTGAACATTTCTAGCAGATGTTGTTATTTCTGCAGGCGAGTTTTTATCAGTAGCATGTTGGCTCAGATCAGGGCTGTCGGCCCACCCTGCAAATCAATGGTCTTACTAGGACACGCCCCTTTGGTTAAGGAGCCAGAAGCATGTCGCCATGACAAAGTGTCATGTGACTTACTGGGAACATAAATGCGCTTGGTTGCCGTGGTGCCGAAGTGCACCTCGAGGCTGTTGTCAGCTAGCCATGGGACCCAGCTGGTCCGTGAGCGCCACCAGCTGGCTATTTGGCGGCGGTGGGGTTGATTCTGGGAAAAAATACATTATGTATTCACCCTGTCAAAGGCCTTTGTTCTGTTCCTTCACTTGGTCTGATGATGCATTGGTTATGTGGATTGGGACTCCCCAATTCTATTTCTGTTTCCTGTTTGGAGCAGCTCGAAACTCCATGTTTCCCGTGAGGTGGAGGTGTCTGCTTGGCTTGCGTCGCGTCTACAGTGTGTCGACTGTGCATTCCAGCGGCGCTGAATATGCTATCACACGTTCCCCCTGTCTCTGGAAAGGAGACCAGAGGAAGTATGAAAAAAAACCCCGCAATCTTTAACTCCAAAGAGGGGAACGGACTGCTAGTTGTGTCAAAAAGCTAGAAAAGTAAAACAAGGACTGATCAGTCATGTTTACAAAGTTGCCAGGTTTGACGTGCCAAAGTTCCTATCACCGCTGGATTCCTTGTTTGCGTTAAACTAATGACTAGTCTTTGGTTAGACATGGGCAAATCAGCTGTTACCAGAGTGAGATCGTCACCCCAGGATCAAGAGCAGAATTGAGTATATCTTTTCGGGGAAATTAGGAGCTAAAAATAGAGCGAACCACATTTCCTGGTGGGGGGGGGGCAGGAGGGGGGTGGTGCTAGTAATGCAGCTCTTCAGTTTGGAAGAAATAAATATTTTGTGGTTCTATACACTGATGACAAAGCGTATGATGGGGAGGGGGAAGGGGGTTAGTACACATCTGCCAGTCCCCTTTCAGTCTGCAGTGGAAAATTCCACGTAGCACAAGAAATGGAAAACTGTGGGTGAAATCCAAGTACACTACCACCATTTTCCTGAAGGGGGCACTGGCACAAATCCAGATAATTTAAGTGCATCTACATGGTGTTCTTGCGAATTAGTATAGCAAAGGAGTCCAATTGGGAATGCCGTCACAGGGTCTCGTTTCCCTCCATTTCCAGGACGCTGGAATGTTCTGCCAGTGATACGTGGCTCCATATTCCAGGTTCAGGGTTGATTTTAGCACAAGCAGACAGACACTACAGGTCCAGCTCTGTAGATCCTGGAAACACACCCATGGCAGTAGGCTGTAAGTCCCAGATATTTTCCCCCTTTTTGGATCACTGTGACTTATCAAAAATGTGGCTGGCATCCCAATGATTCCTAGTGGTAGTGTGGAAATTCAGAACCTTTGGACTCAAACTCAGGGAGTCTCTCTCCTTCCTCTAATGACAAACGCAGGTGTGTTTCTAGCTGATTTATATTGCAGCTTTGTCTGAAACCACAGTCAGAGGTGGGATTTGTTTTCTACAGGAAAAAGCCAGGGAACTCATTTTTGACCAATTTACTGTGTGTTTCATTTTTAGAATGAACCATTTTAAGCATTATGTACTTTTTACAATAGTCTCTTATAGATCATAATTTCAAAATGAACCACAAAAAATAAACCAAAAAACAATGATGGTATTCATGGATGAATCACTTATTGTTACACTCACTTCCTGTTTTGCCTTGAGCAGTTCTGGAAAGTTCTAACAGCAGGCTGTTGTCACACCAAGGTTCTGGGATAACTGAGCAGTACCATCACAATGAGGTCACACTGGAAGAGGAGTACTATACCCCCCAGCTTGACTATAAAGGTACGTAAGGAGTGTTCGCTTTTGCTCTTTCTCTCTCCTTCACATACCGTTAACAGGAGAACCTTAGCGGAATTATGACCCGAGGAGTTGTATCGGTATGAGGATCCATGGCCTGGACTGCTGTTAACAGGTGGTTGAGAGAGTTGTCTGTCCCTCGCCCCCCCCATGACAGAGCCACGGTGGTGCCACCCCCTGAGCCTTAGGAACGGAGAGGTCACCTGCTTCTCCCCCCGTGGGGGCTACTACCGCAGCACTCTGGGCACCCGCTGCGAGCTGACCTGCGATCGCGGCTTCCGGCTGCTGGGCCGTTCGTCCGTGCAGTGCATGCCAAACCGCCGCTGGTCGGGGACTGCGCACTGCCGCCGTAAGTGGGCCCGCCCGAGCGGGTTGTGTGTGGTTTCCATGGTTACCGCGAACGTCCCAGCGAAAGCTAATGGGTGATGACGCCCAGCAGCATCCCATAATGATAACAGAGAGGATTAAAAACACTAACATAAAATAAAGAAATTTGATTCATTTGGCTTCAGGCGGTTTTGTGTTTGTAGTGTTTCCAGAACCAGCACAGTATCTTCTCTTCCCAGGTAAGTGGGAGAGTATAAGCTCCACCCACTGGTGCCACTCATTTAAATAAACTCTTCCTGTTGCCATGACAACCCCGCAGAGGTGCGTTGCCGTGTGCTGCCGCTGATCTTTCATGGCACCTACAGCTGCACCGACAGCGTGCTGGTGAACTCCAGGTGCAGCTACATCTGCAACCCCGGCTACCATCTGGAGGGCGACCACACCCGTATTTGCCTGGAGGGGGGACAGTGGAGCAGCAGGGAGCCCACCTGTACAGGTGACGATTGCCTCGAGGCCTGGGCCGTGATCCTGAGCAGGCAGGGAGATGCTGAAAGATGCAGGCTGCACATGAACTCCTTTTGTTTACAGCACGCTGAGTATGGTCATCTGAGCCTCAGTCACTGTGACCTAGAACACTTCAGGCCGCCCCCACCCCCATCTTGGGATGGGGCCTTGTTGCTATGGCCCAGATCTTTCCAAGGAGCATTTCACAATCTTCAAAGTTAACAGAGCTATTCTCAGAAAGAAGGTGTACATGTAACTGATCCAAATGCAGCTCCCAACCAGCTGCCTAAAGAAGAGAATATGCCACTAAACTGTCTCTCTATAGATCGGGACCCACCGAAAATCCAGTGCCCCCTGTCACGGGTGCGAGTTGCTGAGCAAGGCAAGCTGACTGCAAAGGTGTCCTGGGATGCCCCCGTTGTCAAGGATACCGCTGACGTCTCTGCAGTAGAGTATGGGATCTGTTGCCTGTTTGCGGGGAAAGGATATTCCCTTTCATTTCTGTGGGGGCGGAGGGTCGCTAACATGGTCTTTGTTTCTGCTACCGCAGAGTGATACTTGTGGGTCCAAATTCGGGTTCCCATTTTGAGGAGGGGGTGCACGTTATCCAGTACAAAGCTTACGACCAGGCCAGGAACAAAGCCTCCTGCAAATTCATCGTTCGAGTGGAGGGTAGGACATCGGGGGGGGGGGGGGGGGTTTTTGGACAGGGGGGGAGGTAATTATTTCTATTTCTACTTTGACAAGAGGAGGAGAAGCTTCCTTGCCATTGTGTGGTTGGGGGGGGGGTGTAGCAGTGTGGAAAAGCTTACACTGCAAATATGCAGTGTGGGACAGTGGTGCTGTGACAGAGACAGGGGCAAAACAACAGGCGTCACTGTGTCTGTACTCTGCCCTCCCCCAGTGAGGAGATGTCCCGCCCTTGTGGCCCCACTGCACGGACGCCTCACCTGCTCTGCCGACGGGGATAACTACGGGACGGAGTGCGAGTACCACTGTGGGGCTGGCTACGAGAGGCAGGGCCCCGCCCTGCGCACGTGTCTGTCTGACTGCAGCTGGTCTGGGGAGGCGCCGATGTGCGTGCGTGAGTACCCCCCATGCACTGGCATGCACAGGCTCCCTGGTCGCCACTGCATACAGTGAAATATACAGAGCTGAGCGTGGCCTGTGTTTGCAGAACTGCCCATCATCACAACGGATGTCAGGACTGCCGCCGCCCTGCTGGACCAGTTCTACCTGAAGAGGAACCTACTCGTCGTTTCGTCTCCCAGCAGTACTGACCAGTACTATGGCCTCCAGAAGCTGATGCTGGAGGTACGTCCACTACCCCACAATGAAGGGACCAGCTCGGAGATACTTTGACCGGATGTGTTCATTCTGGGTCCTGGAGGGTGGCACGTTGGTTCCAGTCCCCCCTTCACCCCCCCCCCCACCTACACACACCAGACACTGCCCCCTCCAGGACCATGACGACACCTCCCAGCTTCTGACCATAAAACTCAGGTTTTGGTGGCTGGTACCCCCACAGAAAGCGGAGTGTGGACTGGACATGAGGGAGGTGACCGTCATCGAGCTGGTGGGACGGGCCCCACATGCCGTGGGCTACCTGAAGGGTCGGCCCCTCCAGCCTGAAGTGATCAGAGGTCTCCGGTAAGAGTGGCTGCACTGTTGGGCGCCGGAGCTCACATCACACCTGGCTTTCCTGGGGAGACACTGACCTGTCATTTTGACCCTGGCAGGCAGAACCTGAGAATCTCCAGGACGTACTTCTCCATGGTGCTCCTGGACAAGCGGGGCGTGGACCGTGAGCGTTTAGTTGACCCCACCTCCTCAGATGAGCTCTACTCCCTCATCGACATGTACCTGCTGAATGAAGAACAGCGCCACCAACTGGACGAGTACAGGGACTTGTGTGACTGAGCTACCAGTTGCTACAGGAAGGTGGCTTTATGTACTAGGCTGCCCTCTGGTGGCTGACTTTGGACCACATGTTCAAGGAACTCCCTAGGGGTCGGGACAGGCTTTTTGCTTAGTGACGCTGGTCTAGAATCTACTGAAACTTACACAATACTTCCTTTGTCGGTCTCCCCCCAGTGGGCAGAACTAACAGTGCAATAGGTGTGTCAGTTAGTCCACTGTGTGTCCGGATGTTAAAGTCCAGCGATTTGCATCAAGTAGAAATTAGTAATATTATTAACAGATATGTACACAAGCAGAGTGCCAGGGATGAGATGGCAGGACTCTCTAGATGCCCTGACTTATAAGTGGACAGGCACTGGCCCTGAAGTTAAATATACTTATTTATTAAGACAACAATTTGATATATCGGCATACAACTACCTTCCAATCCCTTGGTAATTGGTTGTTTTCTATGTATATTGAATAAAAATCAATTTTTTTTTAACATAAACAAAAATACATCTGTGACCTGACAGCCAAAGGGAGAAACATCTAACGTTTGAAGGTAACAGTCCAAAGTGCTTTTGCTATGGAAAGATGAACATTGCAGCTGCTCGTCCGTCACCCTCCGAAGCTGATGACATTACGGAAGTCACAGACCCCCCAGGGCTGTCCGGCACGGAGACGCAGAGGAGCCCATCTCAGCAAAGCTCTGCAGACGCCGACCACCCCACCCCCCCGCCATACTGCGAGCAAAAACTCCAGAAAAGATGCATCTGTCTTTCTAAAGATTAAAATTAATAATAGCATTATTGTTAATGCTAACAAATTTTTAAATGCGTAACAATAAGTTCTTTGGCAGAATAAACTTGTGATTGTGCATTAAAGTTAAAGCCCTTGATTAGGTCCTTCTATTCCACAGGTAGAGGATAAAGAAATTGCAGAGTCACTATTGCTAACCCACAGAATTACAGCTACAGGCCCCTGTCCCTCTGAATTGTGGGACTCCCGCTCCCATCCCCTGAAATCACATGCTTTATTGCAGACGGAGGTGGTGGTGGTGGGGGGGGGGTTAAGCAAAATTTGGTTAAAAGCGTATGGACAGCTTCTGTTCCATTCTGGCATCTTCATTTGATGTTGCCCATGGAGGAGCGCAATGGGAGGGTGCCCTCTGCCCACGAGCCAGGGTACTGCATCATCTTCCTCCAAAGGCAGGCCTCATCCTCTGTGTAATCCACTGAGACTTCCTGCATGGCACCTGCGGCAAAAAGGTGGTCATATACAGTATGGCCCCGCCCCTTTCCTGACTCCTCCCTTCTTATGGCACAGCCATCAGCACCCCAGTATGACTATCATACCTAGGGTGCCTGATGTTCTTATCTGGCTCGAGACACTGCTGGGATTTGTTGCCAGTCAAACCATTAAATTTTTAATTGTTAATTAATGAGCCCAGTTTAATGTAGGTAACCATATACTCTGGTTTCTCTATGATTCTGGGACCTGCAGAGGATCATGGGATTGCAGGAACAGGATTTCACACGCTGATGTAGATTATTATTTTCAAGCATCTTAGGTATGTGCTTAAAGTGTGGCGTGAACAGTCAAACTTCGTACCCTTGGCATGTGCTCACCTGGTCCTGAACTCAGAAGGACACCTCCCAGGAAGTCGTTACTGGACATGGCCTCCCGGTCCCACACAGTCAGCTCCAGACACATGCCTTGCAGCTGCTCTAAGCTCAGGCCCTTGTACACAAAGGTGTGATCATAGTGTGGGTTGAGGGTTTTCTTCACCACGGGTGTCTTCCTCTTTGTGGCCTTCGTCTTGTCCGGCAGCAGGTACCTGAATGCATGGAACAATTTGATAATTTATTGCACGGGTGGCATCCTAATTTATGAAATTTCCTCACGACTAAATATTCCATGGTCAACTGTTAGTTGTATTATAACAAAGTGAAAGCAATTGGGAACAACAGCAACTCAGCCATAAAGTGGTAGGCCACGTAAAATCAGAGAGCGGGGACAACGCATGCTGAGGTGCACAGTGTGCAGAGTCGCCAGCTGTCTGCAGAATCAATAGCTACAGACCTGCAAACTCCCTGTAGCCTTCAGATTAGCTCAAGAACACTGCATAGAGAATTTCATGGAATGGGTTTCCATGGCCGAGCAGCTGCATCCAAGCCTTACATCACCATGTGCAATGCAGTAGTGTAAAGCACGCCACCACTGGACTGACGCTAGAGCAGTGGAGACATGTTCTCTGGAGTGACAAATCACGCTTCTCTGTCTGGCAATCCGATGGATGACTCTGGGTTTGCCGGTTGCCAGGAGAACGGTACTTGCCTGACTGCATTGTGCCAAGTGTAAAGTTTGGTGGAGGGGAGATTATGGTGTGGGGTTGGTTTTGCAAGGGTTGGGCTGGACCCTTAATTCCAGTGAAAGGAACTCATAATGCTGCAACATTCAAAGCCATTTTGGACAATTTCATGCTCTTTTTCAGCTTCAACTATGTGGGTACAATTTGGGGATGGCCCCTTCCTGTTCCAACATGACTGCACACCAGTGTACAAACCAAGGTCCATAAGGACATGGATGAGCGAGTCTGGTGTGGAGGAACTTGACGTGCCTGCACAGAGTCCTGACCTCAACCCTATAGAACACCTTTGGGATGAATTAGAGCAGAGACAGCAAGCCAGGCCTTCTCGTCCAACGTCAGTGCCTGACCTCACACATGCTCTCCTGGAAGAATGGTCAAAAACTCCCATAAACACTCCTAAACCTTGTGGACAGCCTTCCCAGAAGAGTTGAAGCTGTTATAGCTGCAAAGGGCGGGCCAACTCCATATTAAAGCCTATGCATTAAGAATGGGATGTCATTAAAGTTCATGTGTGTGTAAAGGCAGGTGTCCCAATACTTTTGGCAATATAGTGTAAGATGGCTGCCCTCTCACCCTTTCACAAAGGAGTCAGAGATGCCTCCCTTTTTCATGGCAGTTAGGTTTTTGGCCTCCTTGATCAGGACATGAAGCTCTCCACCTTCATCCTTGGTCTTCTTCTTCTTCTTGTCCTTACCTTGGGAAATAGAAAGCTTGTTGGGAGGACATCAACATTAATGACACATGAAGGCCAAGGCTGTGTGACTCGCTTCTGTGGACGGACCTTTGGCGGTGTCTGAGGACACCTCGCCTGCGGCAACAAACTTCAGGGAAATCATCAGTTCCCCCTTGTACTGGGCGAAAGCAGACTGTGATGTGGCAGAGACCTGCAGCAGATGGGGGCCAGAACACCGGGGGTTAAGGAGCTGATCCGTTTCGGCATCCCAGGTGCGCGAGTGCGGCTTACCTTCGGTCGAAGCGGCACACACTCCTCGTGGCTGGAGTTCAGGTCCCTGCAATCCAGTGGCAACTCCACCTCCCCCAAGAAGGCGTTGCGGCCAAAGCGGTCATGGTGCCAAACAGACAACTGGAGAGACCGTGTGACCAGCTGGGAACGACTGATGGAGTACTGGGGCACAGCAGAAGAAGAGAGCGAAACAGAGGAAGGAGAAGAATGGTAGGAGGTTCACTTCTGGTGATCCCAGTATGTCATCTGCTCTCCACACAGACCAACGTATCTGGTAATCATTTACACTGGCTCTAGTGGTTATTTAAACGGGTTTCGTGTTTCTTAAACTGCTGTCCTACCTGGTGTTTACGCTGGATTAATAAAGGGCAGGTACAGAATCAATATTTGCCTGTCATTCAGGCGCCCAGGACAGAAATTCTTCTCATCTTAAATGTCAACATTCCAGCTAATTGTCTCATGAAGGTTGACGAGGTAGCTGCAGGTGGACGAGTCTGGCAATTAGCGGAGAGCGAACTATAGCTTTGGCCGGTACCTTCAGGGTCTCGTTGTAAATGGGGTTGACCGTGTTGCTCTTGACGGTGGTCTTCTTCTTGCTCTGCCGGGACTTGTCTGGGAGCAGGTAGCATTTTACATACCTATGGAACAACATGGAGTCTGTACAGTGGACAAAACCAAACTGAAGGAGAGGAGACCTGAGAGAAATTCTCAAATTCTCAATACCGCTTTACCTATTATTATTATTTTATTATTTATATATCTCATCTAACCACGCATGGTGTGTGTGATGGGTCGGCACCCCATCATGGATTGTTCCCTGCCCTGCACCCATAGCCTGTGGAATAGGCTCCAGACCCCCTATGACCCTGAATATGGTAGGCAGTTACAGAAAATGGATGGATGGATCTTCGAATCACTTCTCACACAGCCGGATTTCCTGCTTAGCCGGATAACTTGTTGGATTTTAGGCCAGGATTGCAGGGGGCCTGGAGCCTATCCAGGCAGCACAGGGCACAAGACGGGTTTGTACCAGGGATGTGGTGCCAGTCCATTGCAGGGGACCATCATACTTGATGGACAATTGAAAGGCACCAGTTAGCTACTGTAAAGTTTATACCAAGGAGACAGCATTTCTGAAGAACAGCATGTCTAAAACCATACACTACATGATTACATACATTATGATATACTTCATTTAGTTGTATAGTTCAATATTTACATAAAATGTACCTTGTTCAATTATTCACTTAATCTGAAATGGCTTCTGGTCACACTCACGGGTTACAGCGATGTTTGGCAGCGTTTCCATAAGCCAGGCTGCGGCACTCCTTAATGAGGATGGACAGGGTCTGCGAGCGGTCGTCGTAATGGAGGGAGAATATGATGTCTCCACTGACGTCGACCGTGTCGTAGTCTCCTGCCTCGCTGTACACGCTCATCAGACTGCCCATCGTGCTCTGGGGGAAAAAATCACAGCCAATCCACAGGCCCTGGGATACTCACATGACCCTCAATGACCAATAAAGGGCAGGCTTTCATAACATTGTAATTTCACGCAGGGATTTCGCACAGATGCTGGGTGGGTGGACACACCTTGCTTCGAAGGCTGTACGTGCTTCTGCCTGCATTCTTCCTGTGGATCTCAACCAGGCTGTCAATGTCCTCATCCTCCTCTTCCTCCTGAATTGGAGATGTCACAACGGGCCAAGACGTACCCTCAAGTTTGTCTAAAGCAAATTGAAAATAAGGATCGCCCCCCCCCAGCACTCACCTGCATGTTGAGCCCTGGCACGGACTTGCTCCGATCTCTCATGGAGCCCTCGTCTATCTCTGACCCCGCCTCACGCAGGTCCAGCACTGAGGTGGGCCAGTTACTCTCTGGGAGGAACCCGAAAGGAAGGAAGTACAGATGACAGCTCAGCATGTCACTTCCTCTCCCCACACTTACCAAGCGGTCAAGGTCTCCCTCACTGCAGGCTCCAGTGTCTCACCCCCAGGCTTCTGGACTCGTTTGGTACTCCTCTTGAACAGCTTATCTTCTTCAGACACTGTTGGTACTGGGCAGGGTGTTACTGACTGAAAAAAAGCAGGTTATGGTTGGGAGGGGTGTGAACAGTGAGCTTTGGGTGGTATGGCCTGCATACAGGCATGGTCGTCTCACCGGGTCCAGGTCCGAAGTGCTACTGGAGGAGTTGCCCGGCTTGATGGGGGCATCCAAGACTGACTTGCTAGATCCAGCGGGACTGGAGCGCCCCATTGATCCTCCATCCGCAGGCACAGCCTCATTCCTGTAGGGCGGCGACAGGGGGTCATGGGAAACTGAAGCCAGAGTATCCACATCCTGCTCGCTGACAGGGTATTCCGGACCTGCTGCGCCCTCCCACCTCAGCCTCACCTGGACAGGACCGGAGTCCCATGGGAGGATTCAGTCCCGGTTCGGCTGCTGCTCAGACTGGCCTTCTCCACAGACTCAGTGTCACTGCGCTGCTGTTGATCTGGAGCTGGTCCATCAGGGGGCTGCGACCCATCCGACAGAGAGCTGAAGTCCACAGAGAGGAGGATGTGAACCCAAACCCAACGGGCTTCCATCTTCTAAAATAAAATGTGGCCATTCCCTTCACAGCACTTGGACGGTGTGTCATTTACTACAGGTGTAACAGTAGAGCGAGGGGCCATGGAGCTGGGTTAGTGGCCCAGTGCCAGGTGCCTCACTGCTCAGAAAGGAGGACAGTCTGCACACCATTCATCACCACTTCTTCAAAGGAGTCCGAACTCAGTTCTGTGACAGAGCTTATTTTCCTTAAACGTTTGTCCGACCTCCTACACTCTCACATTTTCCCGCCCAGCAAACAGCAGTGATGAATATGATTCTGCTTAAACATGCCTAACAGATTGCTGTACACACCAATGGTCTCCAGAAAGGAAGCATCTACAGTTTCTGATAAATCCTTTATTTGCCATTTGCACAAGTACACAAGTACAGATACACTGGAATTTTTCTCTTTGCCTCGCGTGAACATAGCTTGGGGCTCACAGTGCAAGGTCAGTTTACGTGTGGTGGCTCCTGGAGGCTAAAGCGCCTTGCTCAAGGGCCCGTGGACATGGGAATTTTCTGCAGAGGCCGGGCTTGACCTGGTGACCTTCTGATCGTGGGCACGGAGGGGCTAAACTCGCTGCCCAATCACTGCCCCCCGCCTGTACACACCTACGTTTGCTGAATGCACCACGAGTTCCCCCCCCCCTTCTTTCAGAACAGCCAATTAACCTGGACGCACACTGGTTTGGCAATTTTTAAGTTTTGTAAACATCTGTCCACTTGGTGTAAAGTCCTATTTACTTTTGCCAGATGTGCCGCCAGGATGGTAGTTCGCCGAATCTCTGCCGGTCAGCCAACCATAGCGCTGTTACTAATTTTAGCCAATACAGGTAAAAGGCTTTTACACGGGGAGTCTGGGACCATGTTGGCCAAACACTGGGCGGCTCTCACCTCGTGTCGAGGCCCAGCTGGTCCTTCAGCCTGGGCCGAGGGATCGGCGAGGGCCTGCCGGCGGGATTCATCTCCACGTTCTGCAGGAGCATTGCCCCCACGGTGTCGCGCTTCTTCACTGAAACGCAGTGGGCTAGCCGTTAGCAGGTAGCGGCAAGCTAATGGCTTACCAGCCGATAGGCATCACGCCCGGCAGGAAGAGTTTATTATCGCTGTGAAACGTGCATCCTTTCGGAGCTTATCAGGCTAATTCTCCTCCTGCAGGAAGTGGCTGGGGGCAGCTTCCTGTTCTCACCCTGGGGCCGCTTCCTGAGGGAGACTCTGACCATGTCATGCCCAGGGGAGTCCAGGAAGCGGTTCACCCTCTGGTCATAGAACCAGTCTCCAGTGGTCTTCTTAAGGTCTCTGGAAAAAACAAGCACAGCGAGATAGTAAACAGAGAGGAAAACGCTTCCTTGTCAAACGGCGAGACCCCCCAGGAGGTGCACTCACGCCTCCTTGGCACACACACTGCACGCCCATGACCCGTCGGGCCGGCTGGAGCGGCAGGCGCTGCACACGCGATGGTTGCAGCCCGAGCATTGGCTGGCACCGACAGACAGACGCCCCAGAGCTGCCTGGCAACGGCCACAACTGCGCTCGCTGTAGCTGCCGCTGCTGCGCTTGGCACCTCGCCGGCGGATGTCCAAGAGCTCCGCCTTCAGCCGTCTGCGGGGGTGGGGCGACAAGGAAGAGTCACAGGAGCATTTGACGCGGGGTTGGAGAAGACAGGCCAGTTCGGCTGGGGAATGCTCTCAGGAGGAGGTAATTAGGGGAGGAAAATATTGGGCTGGGTGACCGGAGGGGGGGAGGCGGGGTCACCTCACACGCTGCTCCTCAGCTTTCCTCAGCTCCTCATCCCGCTGGAGCACCTCGAGGATCAGCTCGCGCTCCGAGTCCGTCAAGAACGCTACGTTGACCTCCAGCTGCTGCAGCATCCTGGCTCCTGGCCAAGAGAGCGGGGTCCTGTTCAGCAGCCGAAAAGCTGCTCCTGAACTCACGTCAGCAGCACAAATAACGTGAAATATGGACTGGAAAATTTTCAAAATATTTTTCCAGTCAGACTAGAATGAAAATCACAACGGTAAACTGTTGTGTATGTTTATACAGCAGAGAGATTTGCTGCAGTGACACCAGTACCAGACTGTAGGGCTCCTCTAGACTGGCAGCACGCCAAAAGGGAAATGGAAAGTTCTGGGGTCCAAAGTGTCCAGCCACAGCCTGTCAGGTTTATAAATATAAATCAAACATGATGAGGTCCTGTATGCTCATCCCGAGAGGGAATGTCACCCACGTTCCCAGTATAGGAGCCTTTGATTTATGTCGGCCTATAATAAGAATGCCTGAACAGGTTATGAAGTTTATTTATTCTGTTCTACATTTAACTTGAGTTTATAATGGAATTTAGCATGCATGTCTTATTTATTATTTAGTGTGCATTCATTATTGCTTCAGTGTGTCCCTGTACAGGAGAATCAGGAATAAAATCTATTTAAGACTGGGCGGTGACACAGACCAGGAGGAACAGACTGGTGCGAGTGTCATTGACCGTGTTTGTGACTGTGACCATGAACGTGTTTGTATTTGCACAACCAAACTGGAACTGTCGAACCTGTGAAACTTTGAGTGGACTAAGTTTAGTTTTGCAGTTTTATGTTCATTAAATTTTGTAAGTAAATTCAATAAGAGGAACCACAATTACATATTTTTATTTTCATTTAAACAGGTTGCATCCAACACCCAATGAAGTGGATAGAAAGGGAGATGTTTTAATGGGACATGGAAATGAAAGGATAAAAATACCCATTTTCACCACTACACCCAGCAATCCCAGTCCCCTTCACGGCTGAATCAGGTGGTGTTGTCGCAAGGACCATGGGGAGGTTCTTGGACTATATTGGAAAACTGCTGTATCAAGCTGAGCTCTAACTCTTCTAAGTGACAGAAAGCCTGAGCAGCGTTTGAGTTTCACTGGAGCAGGAAGGGCGGGTCTGCAGGGAGTCGTCGGCGAGAGTAAACACACTCAATGGGGTCATGGGCATGCAGCGTGACGGCTCAGCAAACCGCCACTGCTGACATCGTGCCGGAATCCCACTGTGAAATTGGGAGAAAATCGATTTAATTCTGTATCCAGTCCAGTGTGCCCTGATCTTCCCGGGATAAACTTTGAGGAACAGGCCAGGATGTGTGGATATGTCCTACTGACACACTGGTGAGTGATGCAGGCGGACTGAAGGTGATGTCAGGTGACTGAACGGCACTGGGCCGAGAGCCTAGCTTAGCTACCACGCAGATCCTAAGCAAGGGTTAAGAAAAAGCAAAGACCCCACTGGGTCAGAACGGTCAGTCTTTGGAATCAGACGGGTAGGAGATGAAATGAAGGGCAGCTCAGTTCGCCTGAAGTTCCCACCCTCTAAGGCACATAAAGGTCTGGGTGGACCAGGGCTGTGGTTAGGCCATTCATCAACATCTGACATGTCCTCCTAAATCCTGCGAGATCCCTCTGCCAGATCCCAACCTTTGGTCTACATAGGCTGCCCTGAGAATGAAGGATAGCCCCCCGAGGCATCGGACTGCCTGCCCACCCCCCTCAGAAATACACACAATCGCACACAACGCTGTGCTACAGCTGCCAGGAGGCTGCCCTCAGTATACATACAGTATTCACTCTTTAGACCGTTAGGAGGTGCACTTAGCTGGACCCATGGCTACCGTCCTAAGACACCACAAGACTTTGTAAAATAAGCACACATACATATGGGCATTTTTTCAGTCATGGTGCATGAAGGCTTCCACATGCATCTGGGTTGATTTTATTAAATTCCTGCCAAGGGCAGAAGGCATTATCTGTACAAGTGTCCACTGCCCAACAGGGCTGCAATATTAGACAGTAAGAGGAGTCCCAGTGTGTCCTTAATCTGCTTTCTTATTGAGGTGGACAAGTCCAACTTATACAAGAATAACACAAAATATACCATCAATTACACCATCTTATTGATCACTATTAATTATCATATACAAAGCATTTCACTGGAAGCACAGAAAGACATGGCTGTCATTAGTCAGACTTATTGACAAGAGACACCAAATTAATCAGAATCCTCAATTATATGCTACAAATTCTCTAGGCTTTATACTCCTATAATCAAGTGACTTATGCTGGCCAAAAGCAGACCGGGGAGTCACATTCCACTTTTATTCCACTTGCATACACAAACTACTATAATACTGTGTTTTAATACCAGGCTACCGTCTATAGCCTGAACCATCCATGAAGTACTGCTTCTGGGCTCTGGCTATAACTATTCTGACTGCAGCCACATTTTTAACCCTATCCTCTATATCAAGGTCCCCCCATTATTTTTCCCTGAGGGCAAAATTCCATTGGCAACACAAAGCCAGGGGCTACTGGAATCCCACCCAACGATAAAATTTGCCAACCAGTGGGCAGGGGGTCCCCAACAATAAGATCTGCCAACTGGGGGAGAACAGAAAATAATCGCGTGGCCCGGATTCAATTGTGTTTTGGACCAGACTGGAGTCTGCCAGTTAGTAGGGCTGGGCGGTTAATCAAATTTTAATCTCAATTACAGTTTTGGCTTCCAATGATTATAAAAACAAAATAATTGAGATAAAACGATGATCATGCCACATTTTGTTTCGCAGTGATGCTCCAGTTTTGTCTTGTGTAATACATGGAAATCCACTGTTAAAAAGACAAGTTTATTTTTTTTCCAATAAATAAAGTTCAATAAATATACCGCATTTCCAAAGCCAATGAGTAATGTTGTGATCTCAATATTGACCAAAATAATCGTGATTATGATTTCTGTCATATTCGTGCAGCCATAGCAGTCGGTAATCACTGCTCTAAATGGAAAGGTGACACAGCGCAACATCTCCCATGCCAGCCAAGTGCTACAGAAGCCAAAGGCCAGCCATGACATTAGAAGAGACAGGGTAACAGACTTTTGTGACTCCCTCTCCCCATCTGATCTGGACTGTGATGGGACAAGTGAATGGACGGACTTTTTTATGTCAGGGGAAAAGTTAAAGTGACAAGTAACCAGTGTGTGAGCTAATCTCTGTGAGTGTGACAGTACGCACAGCGATCACATTCTAAACTGCGTACGAGAAAGACGGACTGCCGATGAGGGTACAGAGTAACGGAAAGATGGAAACCAACAAGAACTTTGGAATGCCAAGTCAAATAAAACAGCGGTGCTCCCGACAGCTTCTCTGAACGATTAGACTGGAAAACGGATATTTCGTGAGACATCTCTAGAAATATAGAAATAACATTTAAAAATTACCACAAAATATAAAATCGGCCGGACGGTGGGGGGTAATCATGGAAATCACGCTGTAAATGCTTTCCCTGTCGTTTCCTTAGATTTCAAAACGATTAACTTGTTCAGACCTTTCCAGATTTGTGGAAAAAATGGACACTAATGAATTATCCAGGAACGAAATGGTCCCCTCCCAGACAAACAGCACATTCTGTCCAAAGTAATTATCTGATCAGCACAATGACCACCTCCTAGAGAAACATTACAATCCTTAATAATTTTCTACACGGGAAATTAGATCAAATAAAAAGTTTCCATAATTAAGATCCACCACCCACGATTCATACAGAATAGGTAAGTGGTCAGGCAAATAAAACACGTACAATCTAGGAAACGTGACGTCCGAATTAACGTATAATGCTGATGTCGGATTAACTTCGGCTGCAATACCAACCAGAACAGCACGTAGCCTATTAATGTGTAAGAAGGCACAGAGTAATGAAGCGCGGCATGGAGTAGCGCTACATAGAAGCAGGGATTCGGTGTGACTTACGCGGTTCGCACGGCGGAGTTGCGCTCCTTCTCCCGCTTCCTGCCCACTCTGAAGACCAGGAAAGCTGCCACTTATCGCGGAAGACCGGCAAACTTTTCCCCCTTTATTGTTGCCGCGGAACAGAGCGGAGCCCTATAGAGCCTCCCTACCACCTCCGCTTTTGCAAACAGGTGCAGCCCACACTTCCTCCCTTAATTCTATTTATGCCCAAAACCTCGCAGTTTTTATATACCGATCAACTGGCTTCCCCCCATTTCATTCGCCCAGTCGCACTTACCCCTGTAACAAAGTAAATTATTAACAGTATTAACGATGACAAGTGCTTATTTCGCCTCGAGTCTGAAGGCGCTGTTTACTGAACTTCTCCCTTTGAGACAAAGTAAAATATGAGATGTTCAAGGAACGCAGCAAAATGTCCGAGGTGCAGCTCACAAGCGCCGAAAACCACACAGCGGAATCGGCGTGATGATAAACCGTAAGTATCCGAAGACGTGCCCACAACTCTCTGATCCGGTCTGACTCTTTAACCGCTGAAGATCATCGGTCCTCCGCGAACGAGTTCATCGCGCGCCTCCCCGAAAAATACACAACGGTAAGGTTTAATAAAATGCCAGCGGTATTCTAAAGGCAACCAATTACAGCGAAGCATATTAACAGTCAAGCATTTTTATCTATGGACATTCAATTAAAAATCACGAATTTTGATAAATATATTTAAGATTGTTCGGTAATTTTTGAGGGAACAGGTATATTTCACACCTGTACATAAATTACACCTGACGATGGAAATTAGCAATTGTGTTAATTATATACAAAACAGGAACCCATTAGGGTCATATTCCTAATGTTTTATTACTGACTCTCAACAGTTAAAATATGGAATTACTAGTCTAGAAGTTTCTTTGAGAGGTCTGTCTGTGCAGCGTTGGTCTAAATTGTACCAATAAAGTCTTAAATTGTCAGCATGGTCTACACTCCAAGTCCAGTACTATGTGATGGATGTGAGGTGCGTATGATTTGACATCATTTAAGTGCTGGATAGTCGTCCTCCAGGGTGTCCCGCAGTCTTCCTCCAGCAGGGCGGCGATGCGGAGGGCTGTATCTTCAGCCCACTGTCTCCATGCCTCCCTCTCCGCACAGCCACGTGTCTGCGGTGCTGCTTTCTCCCCGACTGCTGGCTCCGCCTCCCCATGGCTCAGAGGTGAGGTCACATTCTGGTGGATGTGCAAGATACCTCCCGTGGCTCGCTTCAGGAGGCGACAGGCTACAGGCCAGCCCTGCTCGGAGCTGGGGATCAGGCCAAGGTTGACCCGGTCTGCCACGTTACGCAGGTCGAGCTGGGGGGACGACAAGGCGGCAACCGGTCACTTTCTCCTCATTTCTGCAATGTGCTCCATACCGACTCTGCCCCACCTGGCAATGTCCACACCTCAAACCTAAGCCTAGTTCATGCTTCACTTTTCCGCATACTGTTACGGTCCATGCGTAAATGCTACATCTGTCCATGGATGCAGCTAGTCACAGTCAGTGCATGTGTGCAGCAGTGATACAAAGTAATCCAGTGAAGAACTGGAAGTAAAGAAACGCTCATTACTGTGGTGGCATTTCCCCACAAATATACATGCGTGTGAATGGAAGCTGTCCTCATAGTGTAAAATATAACGTTAATATATAACGCTACTTTGACATACATGTCCAGGGAAGCAGGACTTGTACTGTCATCGGCTGCTCAAACAGTAGTGGAAAACTCCAAATTTGGAGAGAGTGAAAAACACACAAGACTTTAGCACACCGAGAGTGATTTATCCATTCTCTAATAGAGTTAGGAGGTATATTAAACTTTTACAGTGTATTGATATATTTTCAAAATGAGATATGGGATGGTAGAATACCCTTTATATATAGTATTCCTTCCTGGTTGTAAACAACTTGAGAGCTTTGGTCGTGCACAGATGGCAGCCACACAAATAACTCATCAGATTACTCTATTCACCCTCAGAGGCCAGATGTATTACTACAAACACAAATATAAGCAATGTAGTGAATAAAATGGGTAAACTCATGAACTCATCTCTGCCTGCTGAAATTCTTTTCTGTGCCCAGTGTTTCTTCACTGCACATGTGCAGTCAGTCGGCACTTTTCCACTGCACCAGGTACTACACATTTGGTATGGAACTTTCAGTACCTGCCCTTCGCCACTGACTTCTGGACGAGTACCAGTACCAAAAGTAACAGTGCGCAAACTACCAAACCAGCTGAGGTACTTCGGTACTTTGGAGTAGGAGACACATGGAATAGCTGCTATCAAAGTATCCATCCATCCATCGTTAAAGTTTAAAGAATGTGAGGAATGAATCCTGTGAATATCATGGGAGGTGGTGAGACCACTCCAGTCGGTGCAGCCTTGGCCCAGGAGTGCTTACAGGTAACCACAGGCCTACCACAGGAACTTTTTTCTGGAACCAGGACTTTTTTTCAGGAACCAGAGGCAGCTGTGAAACCTTTTTTTTTTGTACCTACTCCAAACACTTTGTACTTTTCGTTCAATACCAAACTATCAGGGAGATGCTCACAGCAATAACTTGCTGAATGGCTGACCATCCACACCGGCGCTAACTTGGTAGTTACGTGGCGTACAGGGATAAGATAAAAGTAGCAGAGCAAAAGCAAAAACAGCAGATTAAATTAATTTTCAGAAGCCTGTATCTTTGCAATGGCAATACCTACGCACCTGAAAAAATTGCAGATATACAAGGCTTTTGCCAAATTCCAAATATGTATTTATTTAATGTGTAGCATGTACTCAACTTATCTCTTATCTGTCATAAGGCCCAGAATCTCAAGGGGTAGTAAATATATAATAACTTTCATTGTGTCATTTGAAAGTTAAAATTAAAAAAAAAAAAACATAATGGTGTTTTTGGCTTTAAGGATTTTATTGATAATTTGAAGCTCAATAAAACCCTTAAAATGGAAAATACCATTCTGTTTTTTTGTGTCCACATTTTGTGGCCGACCTAGCATTTTTGTGAAACTATATGAGCTGGGACAGAGAAATCATGGATTTTTCATATTGGCCCAGAGGCAAACAAAATGCCACAAAATCATTCAATTCTGAGATGGTCAAGCAGGGATGATATCAATTATTTGTTGAGTTAAGCCAGAATAATCCATAAATAAAATGTAATTAAAAGCCTGTGTCCTGTTTTTGTTGTGATTGATCTGCTCAATAACTAATAAGTAACTAACAAAATGACTTGTTTACCTCCTTTGTTTTGGGGTGGCGGTGTAGTTTCGCGTGAAATTACTTGTGAATTTTAACCTACAAGCTCTTTGTGTATCCCAGGCTTATTTAGCATAAAGGTCACTGTTCTTGTTACGCGTTAAGAAAGTGGCACACGGAAGCACCCAGGAACTACTAAAAGTTCCTGGTTGTTACAGCCTATAAGCTAAGTTCCTGAATTTGGGTCCTAGCAGCAATGTCACTGTTAAGGAGAGAGGCTTTCATCTTCACCCCACAAACACCAACAGGTTGACAGCACGATCCAGCTCCCCACCTGTCTATTGTCACCCTGGTGGATGGTGCAACGGTCTGAGACTCCATTCAGTTCCAGGTTCCTGCGCAGGGCCTCCACGGCATGCGGATTCCACTCACAGGCGTGAACGTGGGCTGCCCCAGAATGTACCAAGTAGGGGAGGGTGAAGTAGCCAATGCCTACATCAAAAGATCAACAGGAAGCAGTTTGGCTGTGTCAAAGTCCTTCCCTTACGCTGAAGTTCTAAAGTACTCCGCTATGCACACTCCAAGAATCCATACTAAATAAAATGCTTTACCTGCATACAAATCCACGACTGTCTCCCCCCTGCAGTCAAATGACGCAATCCTCAGTTTCTCAGTGATGTTTCCAGCTGAGAACATACACTTGGTCACATCAAATTGGTACCTGCAACACATATTGGTTTAGCTTGCAAGACTACTGTGACGTATCTGTGAATCTCATTCTGCTAAGAATCTTGTGAGGGTTTTGCTTGAACCTGATCTTGTTGTCCACATGGGTCACCCAGCTGTCTTCCCCCAGTAACATAGTCACCGCTGGGGTGCGGTGTCCGTCGCTGCTGACCCTCCCTGCCTGGGCCAGGCGATTCACACCCAGCACACGTGCCACAGTGAGCCACAAGGCTGCTCCTAAATGCAGGAGCCAAAAAAAGACGATACATCAGGCAGTCAGACAGGTTCCTCAAAACGTCTCAAGGTCCAAAAAAAATTAACAACTTTCATGAAACCTGATTAAATCTGATTAAAAGAACAACTAATTAGTATGTTAGTAGAATATAACAGAGTAGAGTAGAATGAGATACTTTATTAATTCTTTTTGCCCCCCATCTTGCTCCCCCCTTAATAATCTATCACACAGTGCAATGATCAAGAAGTGACACCAGCAAGATAACATCGAAAGTGGTCCTGCTAAGCACTACAGTGTCTTATTAATTACTGCGAAAATGGCCCTCTTCTGTTAAAGGTACATTATAAAGCAGACATGGCCAGCTGGCTTGTCATTTTTGTTCTGAGGGATGAGATACTGTCTTGGACCCTCACCCAGTCTGCTCCAAACCTCCTGAGAGAAGCAGCCACCCCCCAGCAGAGCCAGATCCCCATGGCGCTGCCAGCTCCGAGGAACATCTCCCGTCAGGTCCTCGCTCCACGTCTCCCCCTGTGAGACCAGCAGCCGCCGCACACAGTCCAGCAGGGCCATGCTGGTGCTCTTCATGCTTTCCTTCTTGGACGGTTCGGGAGCCTGTTTGAAATGATGCAGACACGCATCAGAAAGCTAAATTTTGTTTCACCAATGATCTATTAGGTTGTTTACGGTACAGGTTAATGGATATATATGTGCGTGCTGAATGTCCAGTCGTCTTACAGTTGCCCGTATTCTCTCAACCCGCAGCTCAGTGTGTTTTTAAGGTTACCATCTACAGAAGTGTAGCCATGAGTTATTCCAACTTCTGGTGTGGTTGCAGCAAAAAGTAATCAAACCCACCCCAAAAGGTGCAAAATAACACCAACATAAAAGTCCACGACTGGCTAAAGTTATGCATGTTATGCAACCTCGGCTATGTGAGAAGTCTCACCCCGTTTGGAATGGCCGCTACAGCTCTGCCCATTACATCAGTGAGTGCAAAGTGTTCCCAAAACATGACCGCAAGTTCATTCCGAAGGCCAGACAAAGGTGTCTGTCCTCGACATTGACTCCTACGACACACAAGTGACCACAAGTCTCCCCCTGAATACAAACCCACCCACGAGCTGTTTGACCGCACGGAGTCAAACACTGCCTGTCCAGTTCAAGTGCTCCAGTGACTGTAGGGATGTCAGTCCTGCTCAGCAATTTGCCACATACCACACTCCATAATTGCAAGATCCATATCAGACCCTCCAGCCGCTGTTGGGACGTTGTTGGCTGGTGATACTGTCAAGTTTGCCACACTGGTGGTGAGGGAGGGTGAGATGTCACACGCAGAACATCACCAGGTCTTAGAAGATGTCCTTGTAACACTTTATGTAAAACTAAACTTTGTGTATTTTCGTTATTCAAACTGGTTAGCAACCACAAACAGGTGGATATTCCAACCTCTGGCCAGCATCAATTTCCAATATATTATGTTTGTTAGAGTATGGTTTTGTTGAGTTCAGTACTGATGAGTCGTCCAATGTATCACTTGCATTATGTAGCAAAAATAACAGGAAAAACCTCCTAAGACAGTGTTTTGGAGAAGGGGAGAGGTTGGGGTACATGTCCCTCTATACACTCCTAAATAGTTTTAATGATATCAAGAATATTCTGTATTTAGGAGGAACAAAAACCCTTTTACATTGAAGAAAAACTGTACTTTTCATATCTTGTCCTACCTCCCACAAAAATGCGGAGGACCAATTCGCCGTTAAGAATAACCGAACTTTTCCACTAATGATTAACGGGAGAACCACCCGCCGTTAAGGTACACTGGTGTACATACCTGTATGCATGTTAGGGCGCAAGTCGTTTCGTGGCCAACGGAGAGGCGGAGGGCAGTCAGGTCCAGCCCGGGGAGGCAGTCTGGCTGCACGGGCAGCGCCACGGTGCCGTCGGAGCGCTTCAGCATGCGGAGCTTCGGGTTCAAAACGCCGTGCGCCTCCAAGTGCTCCCTGTGGTGCGAGGAGAAAACCCAATTTAAAGAAGACATGAAATGAAATGCAGAACAGCCAAGCTGTTAGCGGACAGCCCGTCTGAAAATGTGTTTTTATGTTTAAGATCTATATGTGTATGCGAAGGCGGAGTTTTTATGGTATATTACCCGAATGTAAAGTACATCTGTTACATATGGCATATCTTCGGTATATAAACGCTGTGGTTACCGTATATTATTAGCAAAGTTATAAATTCTCACCGGTACTGCTGAGCAAAACGGAGCGGCACGCTGATGGCTGGGACGCCCTCCATATTGCGTGTAAAAAGGTAGACATCCGGTTACTGATACAGCCTTTAAAAACAATTTTCACCCTACATACTCGATTTAAAAAGGTATAGAGACCTCAGCTTAAAGTTGCTGACACGAGCTTTAAAATACATTTATAACTCCAGCCACTGCAGCATGTGCTAAACCACACCGCTGCCTGGCTACTTTATGCTTTAATTATTAGGAGCTGCTGCTTTTTAAATCGCTGCCCGTTATCTTCTGTTTCAGAAGATTTGATTTGATGAGAATAATGGAAGTTATTTATATATTTCGTGTGCTTAGCTATGTTGCTAACTTCTTCTTCTACGCAGTTAATAGTTGAGCCTGGCTTTAATTGGTGGCGCATACTGCCATCTGGCGACCAGGAGCGTGAACAGCCTGACCAAAAACAACCAAAGCATGTAGCGCGGACGTGACATACTAACCCATCGCAAGACGGTCACACACACAATGAACGACGGATGACTGTAGTGGAGATTCAGGATTAGGGAGAAGAAATGCATGCTTCCTATGACCGACAAGAGTCAATCACTGGGTCACCTAAATTAGAGGGAAAACTGTATCCTAACATTGCAGACCAGACAGAGTTTGAATGGTACCACTATCTTTTCAGCACTGGTTGGGAAAGCTTGGGCATCAGCACTGCTGTACAGCTGTATGAATACTTCATTAAATACATGCTCGGGGTGATTCCTGTGCTAATATCAGAAATGAGCAACTCCATTTAGACCAGTTTGGAGTAAAATGTTTCCAAATGAGAAAACGTGTCTCCTGTTGAGATATTCTGGCTTCAGTTGGCCTGAATTTTGCAGTAGACCAGCTGAGTTTATTGGGACTTCAACATCGTGGTATTTTCCAAAGGCACACGTGCCTGTGAGAGATTTTTCCACCTTTGGTCAAACTTACTATTATGAAGTCTATACCCACTTTGACCACATGAGTATTTGTGTTTTCTTGTTCAAATATTGCCATTCGAGGAACGTTTTCTGAAAGCCAACCTGTGCAGGGTGAAGATAATTTCTCAAGGTGGGAAAGGTGCCCTTGCCTGTGATTCGTTTCTTCCCTGAGGTTCCACAACAGATTTCTGAATGGAGGGAGATGAAAATGCAATGTGAGCCCTTTGTTTTTTATGTCAGAGGATAAGTCATTTCCAGCACCAAGCTGTCCTTAGGCTATTTGCAGCAGAGAACACTAATGTGGGAAAAGATAAATTCATGTTGCAGGAAGAGTAAGATCTTACTGCTCCTGCAAGCACCCCTATCATAAAGGACAAAACCAAAAATCATCAGGTAACTGGATGGAAGGGAAAACTGCTGCTGGTCAGGTGGTTTTGTACCAGTGCTCTCTGTATCGCCTGCTCTGGTGGACTCAGTCCCCTTTCTTCCAGGTTTTGACACAATATACAGACAGTGTAGGTAAAATTTGTCCTGGGAATATTTCAAATGTAACATGAAACATGTGATACTTTACCCACTATTTGAATTATCTGTATACTGACAGGAAATGTTTGAAGCTAAAATTTTAGTCTACTTTAAATTCATCGAAAATTACCAGTGCTCAGTATCTCTCCATCTGGTGCAATTGGCACACATATCCAAGACTGAAGTACAAAATAATTACTGTAATGCCATTTTATATGTACTACATGAACCAAATCGCTATATCGTTATTTCAGTCACTGTTTAAATTTGGATGGATGGACATTTCTGGCTTAAAAAAAAACCCATTTCATTCTGCTGCATCATAGGACGCATCGATTGAGGCATTCGAGTATTGTACTTTTTTTTTTTTTTCCATTGTTGTAATACAGTTGCAAATACGCAAAATGTAACAAAATATAAAAACAAAGACAGTTTACCATCATGGCAGAATGGCAGGTTGAAATATTATTTGTATGTACATGAAATGGTGGCCGCTGTTAAGGTTAATACAGCTGGACCACAGCTGTAATTAGAGGACCAATTTATACCTTTTTTATGTAACAAAATCTTTCTTGAGTATTATATAATGACAAATTAGGTTTGCTGCAGTCCTAAACATAATCATTATGAAACTCTTACATAAATCAGTTGTAAAAAGCATAATGACACTGTGCAAGATCTTATGATTCTAAGATGGATGAAAAAGTCTGTTAAAGGGAGAAGTAGGACATATATAACGTATTTTAACTTCCACATTATTAGGTACACATGCCTGTAGCAGGTAGGACCTGCATACTTTGCCAGCAAAACAGCTTGGATTTCTTTGAGGTATGGAATCAAGATTGAGCTGGGAGGCTGGATTTAAGTCTGACCATTCTTTTTTGGATGCTCATATTACCCAGATGTTTTAACCATTAGAACCACCACCGATTGGATCTTTTCAGTTTGTCACACCATGACCTGTAAACTCTATACTGTAGGTACCTTTAGCTCGATTAAGCGCATACATTAATGTCTCCCTGGATGGATGTCAACAAATATGTACTGTTTCAGAAATCCAGATGATGGAGATAAATGATGGAGGAGACTGGTTTTATAAGTGACTTTGTAAGCTAACTCCTCTCTTATCACACACTCAGCAGAGGTTTGAATGTGTAACAAACATGCAGGGGCAGACAAAAGCTGATAACCAGGGGGAGTGTTGGGCATTTCAGGTCCAGAAGCTACAAATCCAGACCAAGATTTTGTTTCTACCAATCAGCTGAGTACTCTGTGACCGTGACTCTTTATGCTCAGCTGGCTGGTATAGAAACAAAATCTTGGTTTGGATTTGTAGCTTCCGGATGAGTGGGTGGGGCTTAATATATTTGCCACCCCTGGTCCCTGGAATATTTTACCAGTCGCCAACAATTGGTTGTCTATATATAGGCTACCATGCAGCTGGCTGTGGAAGAAAGGCCCGGCCCTCACAAGACCGGCCCAGGGGAGAAATTCCGCAACTTCCCGATGCCCAGTCCGCGCCTGTAAACATATAACCATAAATCCTTGATTTAATCTCTGTAACATCTAACTTGCAATTAAACAGAAATTCTGGGGGGAGCAGCAGACCTTCGGCTTTAAAACTCAGGTTTGGCAAGCTCGTACAAGTAATTTATTACCAATGCCCCTCCGGCGTGGATTTAAATGCAACAAACGGCGGCAGATAAGGAAGAACTACCCCCGGGAACAAATGTGTTTACAGCCTCTTCGACTGAACCGATGTCCTAACAGGAAATATTTTTGCTGATGAGTTGTTTTTCTTCCCTCCCTTCCTCATATATGACGCCTTGGTTATATCACCGCAGATGAATTATCCAGTCTTGCTTATTTATTATGTATCATTCACATAGTGGGGCGGGTAGGTGGGTTTGGAAATTGGGGACGGGGGGTCGCCGCCCTTGTAAAGTCATGTCGTGGGTATTTTGGGTGGAATAAGTACCCAACCGAGATTACGGGCGACTCACTCTGATATGGCAGAGATCGAGCAGGAATAAATACACACGCTTAGCAATATATGGGGGGCGGGGGGGGCACGCTTGGGCTCTTATCTCCTAATGGCTGTTTGTTAAATTATTAATTTTCAGAGACAGGACAAATGGGTAATCTTGTTTTTCACAGAAGCGGAGCACTGAGGTCAGTAAAGCACTATACAGCCCAGACTCTTATATGATGCGTATCATATGAAAGGCAGTTCCTGGAATCCTGCACCTGTCCATAACACAGTATAATAACTTGTCATTCATTTCATAGGATCCACTCGTCCCACGTCTCACCTTTATGGCTTCACGGATAGGCCTACCCCACACTTACCAGACTTTAATAAATTATCAGCCCACATTTTCTCGCTGCTTAGAAAATAGTTCAGGATTAAATCGATCGTGTGTAAATTCTGGCGTCAACTACGCCTTTAAATTTTCTCTTAGTACAGTGTGATTTGTCAGTGGATTTATAAGGAATGAAATTAGCATTGTTTTGTTTGTAAATGTGACTTCAGCGAGGGTGTTTCAGTGTCAGTTATGGATATCCATTGTTCTTGCTCACTGCAGCAGGCGCCGCCTCTTTAGGCAGAGATGTTTGGGGCTTAAGGCGTGTTTCCTGCTCCCTCAGACCGGACAGTCTGCCGTCGCTCCTGGGAAGCGCAAGTCCCCTCACTTTGACGCAATTTTCCGGACTCCTGTAGCTGACGCCCGGCCGCCGGCCGAAGCAGGAACAAGCGGCTGAGCAGCGGACGCCGGCCACCCGGCAGCCCGAACACGCGCGGCTCGCTTCTGTAGGACGAGCTTCAAGTCGGGATTTCCCCCGAAATATCGGACCGATCAGCGAAACATTTGGATGTATAACATATGGCATATAAGAAGTGGTATTTTATTTAACGTTTGGATTTTCTTTATATCCTGGATTTATGAGCATTTAGTCGTATTGTGATGCTGTTTGGAAAACATAAAAATTTGGTTTATTCAGGAAAAATGGGCTTAAATTATTTAGTCGAATCCGGAACCGACGGATGAAACAACTGAACCGGGACAACTATTTCTTTTTACCCTTAATGTCGCTTTACCAAAGATGATCAGCTAATCATACCGCCCTGGTACAAGAAAGACGCACAGATATTGCAAACCAAAATCTTCCTAAAACTGGCATACTTGGGGAAAATGTCGGTTATTTCTCCTCATTGCGATGATACTGTCTGCACCGATTGCGAAGGAGGAGAACTCCGCGCCGACCTGGGACACAGATACCTGTGAAATTTAAGAAAACTACTCAACTGTGAAGTTTTCGGCATTTTTTTTTCTTGTGTTTTATTCCGCGACAGTCCCAGACATCAATATGTCGGCAGTGATGGTGCCAAAGAAGGTGACCCGAAAATGGGAGAAGCTGCCGGGGAAGAACACTTTCTGCTGCGATGGACGTGTGATGATGGCCCGGCAGAAGGGCGTCTTTTACCTGACCCTGTTCCTCATCATCGGCACCTGCTCCCTCTTCTTTGCTTTCGAGTAAGTAGAAGCGCGCACTTCGCTGCCAGTGCGCCCGTCACGCAGTGATAGACTGTAAATAAAAATGGGGATCGCTGATCATCTTTGTGTGAGAGCCTGGGCGTGCTCCCACCAGTAGTCCCGTCTTGTACGGTCCCCTGATCTCGCCTTTGTCCGTGTTTTGGTGTTGATGTTTTATGAAACACTGCAGTTATTTTAATTTGGACCGCGTTCGACAAGTCCTTGGACCATTCAATGCCCACAAGACTTAACTATTTGTAGCAATGTTTTGCGAATAACTTAGAAGCTGTGGCATAAATTATTCACCTTATTTCAGTTGTATGCTCTCTTTTTATTTTGTAAGTAGTAGTAGTATTTTTAAAATCATGTTGGTATCCCTTAAAACGATCACTGATAGTTTCTGGACGTTTTTAATAACTCAATTTTAATAATTCAATAGTGAATTAAAGCCCTGTGAGTTTTGCTAATATTTTTCGTGTGGTTAATAGATTCCTTTATCTGATGCTGAGATTGGCCTCAGGAAATAGATCCAATCAAAGTGGTCTCCACAGGCTCTCCGTGGGATGATCATCCCTCTCAGGCATAGAAAGCCCCCTCTTTTGCTGGAGACAATGGTGTCACCTTACGGGCTGTGCCTGGAGCAGCTGGATACCTCCTGGAGCTGTGGTTGCCAGATCTCTTCCTGAAGATCCCCACTCAAGGCTGTTTGATTAAGCATTTGAGCTCACATTCATGGCCGTGATTTGCTGAGCTGGGTGAACTGGAATTAAGTTGCCTGAGGAGATGTTTGCGAGCCAGTGGTCTAGAGGATAGATGCCTTATCACAGCAGCACCCACACTATAGAGGAACCAGTGTCTCAGTTGCCATCACCTTGCCCAGGATGGAGCAGTTCAGCCACACATTGTGTCGTTGATCCATTGAATTATCTTCCAAACTAGTATGACATGAGCTTCTGAAAATTTCAGGTGATAGTTTAATATCCCTCCAGTATTAACTTCTTTCAGCCAGGACCAGTCAGTCCTGTAAGGGACATAGGCAGCCACCTAGGGTCTGGGACCAAGGGTTTTGGTTGAGATGTTCACAAAAGGCACCACATGGACAATATTTGTAGGGTAGGACACTTTTGTCATATTAGATTTCTGTTTATTGGCGGTTTGGCATTATGAAGCATAAGTTGAAAACCTCACCACGCAAGCAGAGGGAACTAATTTTCATCAGAAGTTGCATGATACTGTATTTGAAAATATATATTGTGGATAGAGTAAATTATATTGTACGATGCGTAAAAGATGGTTTAGTCATTTTGCAGAATTTTCTCTGTCTGTTTGGCCATCCATCCGTCCGTCTGTCAGTCGCATTGGCCAGCCCTTGGTATTACATTTACAGGGGTTAGGAGAGACCTCAGCAAAGCTTAGTAACTAGACGGTCATTAGTGCCGTATTCATGTTACAGTCGTCCATAATTATCCCTCAAAGGGGGACTATTGACATGGAAACTGAACCAGCAGCAACAGGCGTAATTTAAACCTCTGCATTACAGAGGCAAGTCCAGCCTGTTTTGATTTGGCTTCTGGCTGGTGGAATGAAACGCGAGGGAGTCGTGAGGCCATCGGGAACTCCACTAATGGAGTGGAGCTCAGGACTTGTTTGTGAACAATCTGAAAGATTGTCCATCTTTAGCCTGGATATCTGCATGCAGATGGTTTCTCCCGTGATGGAGCTCTAGCCAGAAATAGAAATTTCTGCAAGTGATGAATGGCTGGCATTGAATTTTGAGCCTGAAAACCAGTTGTAGGGAGATGTTAACATGTCACTGGCTGAGGACGGCATTTATTGGGGAGCATAACATGGAATCCAGGACCCTTAGCCAGAAGAGTCTCATGAGCAGGTTGTGTCGACACCCAGCTGGTTCAGAATGGTCAAGAGATGCTGATTCACTCTGAGATTCTTCATTATGGATTCTCTAAGGAATTGCTGGACGTCTTCGCCTTCCATCTTCTGATCGGCGAGACGCCATGGACTGCAGAGAGCCGGGGGGGGGGGGCAGTGTACTTCTGAGAGCCCACTGGAGCCAGCTTAAGAATAAGTGGGCAGTCGTCTTATCGGCGGCCATCGTATTGCGTGTTTGTTACGCGGCAGGGCGGGACTCATGCTGTCAGGGCGTTCAGAGACATTTTGTTTGGAGAAACTGTAAATAAACACAAAACTATGCAGGAAATATGCAATAAAAATAACTTGTACATTTGCTGGCTGCCTCGTTGAGCTTCTTTACATTTTTGTTTAGTCTGGTTTACCAGATGTCTATATCTAGAGCAACTTCATTTTATTATTTTTACAGCAAGTTATAATTTAACGATGATAAATTTCAGAACGGTACATTAGGTACCGGGTAAATAAAGAGCGTTGTGCCTGGTGTTCAACCCATTTACAGTGTACGTTGGCGTTTGGGACCCAGACCCGATTCAGCTGGCACCGTCTTGCGTCCTTACAGAGCAGCATGGAGCCTGTCCAGGCATTCCTGCTTAAATACGTTTTTTCCTGCATTACACGCATAGCTACTTCGCAGGCTGACTTCCCGTGGCACAGTGGGGCTGATGGATCGCTCTGGGCTCCCCCAGGAGGAAACCCATCACCCTTAAGCTTTTCCATTCTTTTCTGGGCCCCAAAGGTTATGCGACTGGACCAGAAAAACATTCATTGGTGTGGCTGAGGCTCTTGACGTACTTCGAGGTGTTCCATTTTCTCTTTCTTCTTCCCCTCTGTCTCTCCGGGCTCCATCCTGTTGCATTTTCCACACCTAAAATTGAATCACATGTATTATTAGGTTAAGCACTGGGGTTATTTTTCCCTTAGCAATGAGCCTAATTGATTTGCAGCCATATGATATCAGTGACATTGTAGTCCTTCATTTGCAGAAGGCCTTGACAAAGTCGGCCCATAAACAGATGAGACAAATGAGTCCTTGAGGTGTCTTGTCTTCCCTTTTCATGGAAGAAAAAGGACTTTGGCTGTCTGACATGGTAACTGGAGATTTGTGACTTTTGGTAAAGACTTTTGACCAGAGGCTAAAGTGATGGGGGGGTTGGGTACGAGTGATTGTTTCACCAACATCTGCCTCAAGATGTTAGTTTTGCAGATTATGCTACTTCGCCATCATGTCATTTGGGTGCAGAGTCCATAGTGCTTCTCTAAACTGTACAAAGGTCACATCTGTTATTTACTTTGCAGATTTTGTGCGTAAGAAATTAATCAGCTTGGACAAACCGTATTGGATGTAGCCTGGCTAGGCTAATGGCTGATTGGGCCCTTTGGCAGGAGAATCTGTGAATGTGGTTTAGTCCCAAAGAGGAAGCTCCGGGGTATACACAGCTGATGCTAGATTACGGCTGCTGTATGCAAACTTTTCCAGAACTGCGGCTAATCTTTATCATTACCCTGTTAGTCAACATTCTAAACATGTGGTATGACGTCCCTCTGTAACAGTTAGGCTATTGATGTTGAGGCTCTCGTCTCGTCAGTGTTTTAAACATGGTACTCTACCTTCAAGGGTTGTAGTCATACTGATGGACATGCAGATCACATCGGACGTTTTTTTTACAGCAAGCCTGTCTGGTTTATTTAACGTGTCTGCCTCATCCACAGCACCGTACGATCCTATAGATCACGGACAGTCTGGGCAGCCAAAGGGCGTTGCCGTCTTTATATAATTTCTGTGCCAGAACCAAATCGAAAAATGGAGGCTAGATCAAAGTCACCATCTCTGGTACATTTTTTTTTTTTCAACAGAACACCAAAAGAGCTTGTCATCCATCATCCTTCTTTTTCGATGGCCTGCAAGTCACCCAGAAACCGGCAATTTAGGGAAACTGATACAGTCAGCTGAAGCGAGGGTTGGCGTCCTCGTTGGCGTTTGACGTGAACGTTGCCATGGACGATCCTCTGGGATCACACTGTTTACCGCTGTAATTCTGTAGGAAAATTGAAAAGAATGACATGAAAATAAGATAAAAGAAGTCGTCCTTGTGTTCAGAATGATGGCCTGGGGTTGTCTGTTCTACCACAGCATTAGTGGGTCTCAAAGTAGCTTAGCAAATGATAATTTGTGGATTTATAGTTTGTAAAAACAGGTGTGGTTCTGATCTGGACAACTTACTGCGGCAGGTTCTTCTAACGAGGGCATTCTGGGTTTTTTACGAAGGAAACAGCTCGTGGCCCAGCTGTGGCCTAGTCCGTCACGGTGGGCCGTGGTCCTCTGTAAGGACTCTGGCTTGTCACCATGGCCCTTCATCGTCACTTGTGGGTTTGTGTGTCTCTGTGAGGTGTTTGATGGGTGTGCCTTGCAGATGCTAATAGGGGGTAGAGTGAGGCAAGGAGGGGCTGAACAGAATAGGTGGAGCTGGGGAGCATAAATAATAATGGTGTAACGAACAGCCGGGATGGACCTCTCAGGCGCATTTAAAGGTTTTGCTTGTCCTCCACCTCCCAGGGGGCAGGGGGGTGGGGGAGCTAGAATCCCCGAACATCAGATTTAGTGCTTCTTAATCACCTTTGTGCCTCATTCATTCCCTGACAGGCTTTGTTGTACAGCCGCCTTGAGACTCAACACAATATGGTGACAGGATGTTAGCAGAAGTAGACCAGAATGCAAACATACCGAGAGCTCAATGCAAAGAGATGGACAATGCACTGAAAAATCTGGAAAAGTTCTGAGCCTGACACGGAAGTGATAGTGAGGGTTTGATGATGAGGATGCACACACAGGTCGTTTTGGTCATCAGGCCAGCGTGTTTGTGTCACTGATCCCAACGAGTCGGACAGGGATCTGGTTTGCACTGTCTGCCCCGTGCATCGACTGCTTGCCCTCAGATCGATCTCTTCTGAAAATTTTGATGAGCTTGGGATACAGAACTGTGGAAAGTTACTGATTTGTCTGTGCTGATTTGTATAGCAGCAGAGGCGGGCCTGGTCCTGCAGCTGACGGGCGTGTGCCCTGTAGATCTGCTGACTTATCAGCCTGAAATGCGCACTAGATCTAAAAGAAGTGAACTTTGGTTCCTTATGCAGTGTATTTCGTAGCTCCCCCCCCCCCCCACACCATTCCTGCCCTTGAGCCTTGCCTGATCTTTGGCTCCTTCCCAGCGTGAGTGATCCAGCAAACTTTGAAGTGAGTGAGAATAACAGTGTGGCAGAAAAATGTTTCCCTGGAATGTCACTGATCCAGCTGAACTGACAGATGCGCTGTTTTCATGTCGAGTTTGTTTGCTGCGGTGACGGAAGATTGATGATTCTGATTAGTAATGACTATTCCTACAAATACTAGTGTAACAAGTTGGTTTTTTTATGCCCTTTACATGAATTTAGAGCCTTTTCTGATTTTATAAACAATGATGTAAGTAATGTTGTACGGTACCCAGTATTATGAAACACTGAAGTGTTTCTCCGAGGTCTCACAGCACAGCCCCTCCTGATGGCTGGGTGAGCGGCTGTCCAGTCCAGTGTTCGATAAACTAACCGCTCTGCTGCAATATCCCTTTCATGATACCTCATCTTTGCTGAAGTAATGGTAACCTTTGTAGTGAGACCGCCTTGGCACTGTTTGTCCCTTACAGGTGCCCGTACCTCGGGGTGCACCTGTCCCCGGCCATCCCGGTGTTTGCAGTCGTGCTCTTCCTGTTCGTCATGGCCGTGCTGCTGAGGACCAGTTTCAGTGACCCTGGGGTGCTGCCGCGGGCGTTGCCGGATGAGGCTGCATTTATAGAGATGGAGATCGGTGAGTTAGCGCCCCTCCCCCCCCCAGGGTTTCTTTTTGTTAGCAGGACCCTGATGTGAAGCAGACGCACCAAAACCATCACCCTGCTTTCCACACAGCTGCTTCATGTTGAGCTATTCCCCCCCCCCCCCCAAACCTGTTCACTGTGCCCATGAAGCATTCAGAAACTCCACCTAGTGCTTCAGTTGTTGGTCTAATGTTTAAGGCCCTTGCTCAACAATGACGTCACCTTTCCATTCAGAGGCAGAGAAGACTAACCCGCTGAGCCTCACAACACCCCCAGGAAGAATGTCGAAGATAAAACATTTAAATATTGACAGGTTATTCATAACTGGGAGAATTGGAGCTCTGACCTCCGGTGCACAGTTGGAATATTTGCCCCTGTACATTATAACTTGGTTTTATTGCCGTTTGTGTATTTTTACCTGTCAGCTGAGAAGTTTGTGCTGACGGTGGTAATAAGGAGCCTGGAGTGAGGTCATGTTTCGACCATTTCCGCCATTGCATACAATGCCTGTTAAAACGGTGTCAAAATAAACAAAGTTAACAAGAAAGTCCTTTTCAGTAAATGGCAAATATACTCTGTTGTGTGAATATTGCCTGCAAGGCTTCCAAAGTGCAGGCAAAACAGGACGAGGATCTGTTCCGTCTGTGTGCGTGACGCTTGATGTTGGCTTCGAAAGGTCGTCTTTAGATTAGAAGGGTGTGGTTGTTTGATTTCAGTTGGCCTGTTTTTTTTCTTTTTTATAGCCGTAGAGCGTATCCAGACAGGCCAAAATATTCCCAGGCCTGGTAAAGCTTGTGCTTTAAAAGACAGGGTGGGTTCTGTCAGCTACTCAGGTTGCCCTGAGTAGGAATGGTCACTAAGCAAATAGAACACTGAGATAATCTGCTGGGTTGGCCAGGGGACCAAACAGAGGTGGAAAGGTCCAGTCCAGAAAGTACAAATCCAGACCAAGATTTTGTTTCAACCAACCAGTTGAGTATAAAGAGTCACACTCACAGAGTACTCAACTGGCTGGTTGAAAGAAAATCTTGGTCTGGATTTGTACTCTCTGGACCGGAACTGTCCACCTCTAGGACCAACTTGCCCCACCCCCACTTCCCAGCACGAGTGAGGGGTGACACCCTTTCCTGACATGTCTCCAATGGGCTTTGCTCTACAGAGGCAGCCATTGGGAGCGTCCCGGCGGGGCAGCGCCCCCCCCCTCGCATCAGGAATGTCCAGATCAACAACCAGATTGTGAAGCTGAAGTACTGCTACACCTGCAAGATCTTCCGGCCTCCCCGAGCCTCGCACTGCAGCATTTGCGACAACTGCGTGGGTGAGTGTGGCTCCTGTGAGCATGCTCAGCTCTGCCCCCCTGCACTGGTCACTGCCCACAAAGCCGTGATTGGCAGCTATAACTTACTCCTGATCACATGATCCCAACTGCTGCAATTTCAGATCTGTCTGAACAGATTTTTTTTTCTAAAGATGTTCCTTACATTTCTAATATTTTTATTAAAAGTCCAGAAAAAGTTGCCTTTCAGATGCACGTTTTTTTAATCAGGTTGTTACACAAAGTTCGCTCTGTTGTGGTGTTCTTGCTGGCATGAGATGAAGCTGATCTCCTAACTCTGCATGCTGACAGAATGAAAACCGACCGCATATTACGCCAATGGAATGCGCTTTTACCTGCAGTGAAACAATAGTGTGCTTTGTGCGCAGCTGCGCATTGGTCTGATGGACGTGAGACTTCATCACCTTATGAGGCGTCGATTCAGAACAGCCTTTGATCACCAGCCTGCTTTTCTCCCAAAATATGAATATGTGAGTGACACCAGGGCAGGTGCATTGCACAATGCGGCGCTGCCTTTCACATGCTCACGTCGCATTGAATGCAAGAGTTTGCATCTGCTTAGCTTCCATGTCTGGGTTGCACCTTCAGCCTGCTCAGGTTCAGAGTCTGCATCATGTCTGCAAACTGCGCTGTTTCTGATTTGCAGCAGTGAATCGCATTAGCAGCAAAGCATGTTTGTCAGCTGCCGCACCAACGGCTACATTGTGTTGCATCTTTCAACTTGTATTATTTGCACTGTAATTGTTATGCATTGTGTACTGTTTTTAAAATTCTATTTTCATTGTAATCAATCAATCAAATTGATTAATTAACTAGATTGTTTGTTTTGTTTTATTTAATTCTTTATTCTTTACATATTTACCCCCTCAGTACTTATTGTTTGGTGTTTGTTCTCAGCTGTTCCTTGTTCTGGCTGTATATTGCTCCATAGAAATATAATTTCATTTCAGGTGTGTGAAATGACATTAAATGGACTTACTTGATTCGTTGGTAGAGGAGCGCTGAGATGGCCCAGGAGAGCCGCATGTCTCCATGTATGAAGAATGCTGGGAAATGGCTTTCTGTGTCTCTGTGTTTGGCCCCTTTCTAGGTTTTGGTTCTGGCCCAGTTCTGGTTTTGGTCTATTTCAGGTTCTTCCTGAATTGATGCTTTGGCCCAAGTCTTGCTGCTCCTCACAGCTCTGTGCAGTTATTGAATGACTCTGTATGTGTTCCAGATCGCTTTGACCACCACTGCCCCTGGGTGGGCAACTGCGTGGGCAAGAGGAACTATCGCTACTTCTACCTCTTCACGCTGTCGCTCTCCCTGCTCACCGTCTACATCTTCACCTTCGACATCGTCCACGTGGTCCTGCGTGAGTTTGCGGGGGGATCCTGTGATGTGTATAGTTGTGGGGGCAGACCGGATTGATTGGCTCCTGATTTAGGGATAAGAGCAGTTGGCTTGGAGATAAATGGAGTAACGGTTGATTGATTTGTGTGGGAACGGTGATGAGACTTTTCTGTGACTTGGTGATGAGAATGCCGATAGACCAGCTCTTGGGGGATGTCGGTGCTGTACCCTTGAAGAAATGATTTTACCTTTTGTGAAGAAATTCAGAGTGATAAACTTAGGCGTCAAGATCCTCATCCAGAAAGCCAGAAATAAGGAGTAATGATGTCTAGTAATGATCCATTGGGTACCAGGTGCAATCTAATAGCTGAATTCAATCAGGAAGCGGTGTAGTGGCTCAGAGGTGGGTAGCATTATATCTGCTGCTGGTCTGCTGAAGCTCTTCTACCATGACAAGCCACACAAGTCTGGGGTTTTCCTGTAAAGGTCTCAGCTGCCTGCATTTCATCCATTATTTTATAAGGTCAGGAATGTGAGGCCTGTGTAGGTGGTGGGGGTTTGGGGCTGGTGTGAGCGTTTTTCGGCATGTGAGGGACGTCCGTGTTCCTGTGTGACCACGTTTGTCAGTATGTATGTCCTCAGCCTGCCCTCATCATCTCCACAGGGTCGCTGGAGTCTGATTTTGTGACGACCATCAAGGAGACGCCCGGGACATATCCTGTGATTAACTGAGGCAAACTAAAAGGGAGAAGGATGTTTCCATGACAATTTGCCATGACCGCCTTAAGGGTCGCTGGTTTAATTTTCTGATTAAGATAGATGATTTCAGAAATTAATTTGATTTTTATAGCTATATAAGCAGATGGTTAAACAATAGAAAATGTATTTTTGGGGATATATATGGAAAGTAGATTAAGACTTTAGATTTTATCTGCCTATTTGTCTCACTCAATATTAAAGACAGAACTGTGCTTTGTGCCTCTTTTCTGTTGTAACTGCCTTGACTGCCCTCTACTGTGCTGGAGGTGTTGATCTGCTTCTTCACATTATGGTCAGTAGTGGGTTTGACTGGCTTCCACACCTACCTGATAACCCTCAACCAGACCACCAACGAGGATGTGAGTATCCTGATCCCTTCACTGTAAGGCACAAGGCTGTGTTTGGGGGAGGGGGGGTGACCATGCAGCTGGATCGATAAGCTGTGTCCCCTCTGCTCAGGCTGACCTTGCCTTCTTGAGTTTCTGTAAAGACGCAGGTCCTGACAGTGCTGGGTGTTATTTATGTCCTGGAGCAAATTGCTGCCTTCCAGGATTTGGCTGCAAAGATTCATCTATTTATGGTTCTTCTCTATTTTAACCCAATGCACAAAAAATTTGAGAAACAGGCACCAGCAGATTGACCGAGGTGCTTCTGTGCCCATCTCAGATGACGCCGATAATAAACGTGCCCACCCCCACCTGGCATGTGCAGCTCTGCTGAGTGCAGGCCGATGTAATGGGGGGTTGGAGGGGTGCCCCGTCCGGCATCTCCAAAGACGCCCGTGCATGCCGGGTCCTTCCATATCCCTCTGACACTTCCAGCTCGCTGTCTGTGGTCCTGTCTGCCATGTGACTAACAGCCACCCAAACCACAACCTGCACAACCCTCCAGATGCGCCTGATGTTTTTGTAGCTCGTTTATGATCAAGAGGGAAAGACATTTAAAAAAGAAGCACATAGCTGGAACCTGGATCTATTCCTATTGGCTGAATATCTGTTTCTTTTGTATTATTTGTCCTTTTTGTACAGATTAAAGGCTCCTGGACGGGGAAGAATCGAGTACAGAACCCATACAGCCACAGAAACGTCATCAAGAACTGCTGTGAGGTTCTGTGCGGCCCTGCCTATCCCAGGTACCCACCCCGAAACCCGCCCCCCCTCGTCCCTTATGCGGCCCTGCCTACCCCGGGTACCCCCCCCACCACACCCCCCGCGTGTCACTTCCTCTCTCTTTGATGTTGCTTCCCCTCTTGTGCCCATGAGTCTTTGCTCTTTTTGACCCCTGTCCATGTCTGTCACTGACCTCAGTCCCCTGTCTGTCCCTCTCACACTCTGTGACCCTGACCTGCTTGTGGTCTCGCCGTCTGCAGTGTGCTGGACCGGAGGGGGGTGATGACAGAGGAAACACCTGCTGTTCCCCAGGAGCCAGAAGCCAAGAGCGCCCCCCCGCCACAGACCACTGTAAGCACCTTGTCAGGTTTGATGTGATCTGGGTGTGGTCTCATCACTGGGTCCAGACGGAACCAAACAGCAGCAGCACAAAGGTCATGGAGACACATGTTCCGTGCCATGTGAGCCAGGTGGTGGGGGGGGGCAGGGGGGTAGGTTCCCTAGTTATGTCTAATAATAGCATGGGATGGACAGGGGAGGGGGGTTTTCCAGGAGACTCCCCCCTCCCAATCAGATCCACAGCTCATTCCTGCCCCCTTCAGTCTGCTGTGCTTTGTCTCTTCTCCAGAGAACCACAGCCCCCCTCATCCCCAATGAGCACACTCCAGACGACACTAAGACCAAACTGGCTGCCGCCCCTGAGGAAGAGGAGAAGCCCCACCTTCCTCAGGACACTCCACTCCCGCCACTGGACACCAGCGCAGGGCCCAGGCCTGACCCCCAATCCCCCCAGTAGGCAGGCCTAGCGATGGGCAGGGCGGGAGGGATTGGAGAATCTCTGATGAACTTGTCTGCGAAAGGCGCCGCTGAGGGTGTGCCGGGGGTCCGCCGCAGCAGAGCGCGAGCGGCCGCATGACCCCACGTGCCGCTCCAGGCAGCGTGTGCCGGAGGAGGAGGGTGACTCACCCGGGTTTCCATCTGCTAGAGCCTTGCATGAAAATTTACAAAAAACAGAGACGGAGCACAGCGGATTCCTTCATGGCAGACGGCTATGTGAGACCTGTTCTGGGGCTGCCACGTTTTTGTCAATTTTCTACGCACAGTTCTGTCGTGTTGGGTTTTGGTCACTTATAAGCACACCGTCGGCGGCTGGAAAAGGCCCGACAACCCCCCCACGGCAATTACCCGGCCGTCTCTGCGCATCTCGGCAGGAGACTGGAGGGCGGAGGGAGCCCCCACCTCATAGTGCCATCGCCCACTTCCGTCGGCCATCTGGCGTCTCGGCGGTCTCCTCCACGTCGCTGCGGCGCCCCCTAATGCTTCCCGCACAGAGCCGCACCCACCCGCGTCTGTGTCCAGGGTTACCGGCACCACGGGCCAGGTGGAGCAGGGCAGGCCAAAGAAACTGTGCCTCAGAAAAAAATGTGATTTCCACACACGTGAAATGCATGAAATAACGCCACCTGCAAGGTGGATTATTATGTTCATAATAAAAGCAGATCTATGGAAACCTGCCCTTTTCTAAACAACGAAGGGAAGGAGTTACAAAGAGGAAGATTACGTGATTGTAAAAGATTAAACTGGGGAAGTAAATGTTGAAATGCTTCTAGATGATGCTTCCTCCTGGTCGACGTCTGGCTGTAAATCTTGGCATCAGATTTCCAGTTTGAACTCACTGACCTAAGGCCTTGTCCCCCTCATCTGTCACCCAGTATCTGCCTTCCAGCAGTCTCTCCCAGTCTCCCTGAAAGGGTGCTGATTGCTCACATTGACACACCCATTGGGACCCTTTTGTCTGAAACCTAAATGAATGAAGCTGCAGGTAAACATTGACAGTGTTTATCTGCATAGTTGGATTGCGCCAAGAGGAGCATGAGCCAGGTGATCTAGGCCTGGATTGTCATGTTTGTTTGCAGAAGCTGGTTACTAAGATGAGAAGGCTTGGATTACAATGACAATAGAACTGTCATAAACTCAGTACATGATATAGAGTCTGTTTAAATCCTATTTATATTTGCTTTTCTTTGTAAGACCATTGTGATTGTGTTTTCTTTTAATTGCTTGACTTTTTACATGAATGAGTGGTGTATGTTAATTAAACCAGACTTGTCGTAATGCCTTGTCTGAGTGGCTGAGATGTAGATCTGTGGCATCGATGAATGTTTGCTGAAAGGTGCAGGAGGGAGAGAGAGAAAGGGAGTGATGGAAAATTGTCTCACCTCAAAAATGAAACACGTGCTGTAGCAACAAAATTCAATTTAAAAAGTATTTTATTAAAAAAAAATAAAAAATACATTCAAAAGGTAAAAAGTTACACCTGTATGACTATTTTGAACTGTAAGATGATCTCTTTGAACACAAGACAATCAAAAACTGAAAACTCATACAACACAAGAAGTAGGGGAGAATACAGGAATGATGCAGTATGTACAAGAAAAAAAACATTCTGGGTCCTTCAGCTCATGCTGAAGAAGTTTTAAATGCAGGAAGAGAGCCCTCTCGATCATTGCTGGGGATCATAGAGCAGCTCATTGCAGCGTGAGTATGGTAACCACAGCATTTCTGCATGGATATCCGTGGATATCGAGCACAGTTTGCCTTCAGTTGTAAAGCTGGATGTTACAGCAGAAGCCTTCCAGAGGGACTAAGACAGTCTGAGGATGCTAGTAACCAGCACAGAAGCCCACCAGAAGCGTCACTGAGCCACACAGCCTCTTAACTTGACGTGGTGTGAAGTTGAGCACATGGGCAGAGAAGGGAGGAGGACCTTCGGTCTTGAACGCAGACTGTACATCCAGCAGTTTTTCAGCATCAGTTCTGGTCCATCCGTAAATTGGTAGGTAAGACAATGTAAGGCCCGACTCACCTCTCCTAGGATGTGTCTTCTACTGATAGACCCTCCAGCTGGTTCTGGGTGTCTGCAAGGCCCGGTTCCGCTTCCTGCTGTGCTTCTGGCTGCAGCCCTGCGTCCGCTTCTGGCGCCGGCCCCGTTTCTGCCTCCTCGCGTCCATTCTCCAGGTTCTCCGTGCTCTCGAAGCAGCCCGAGTCCCTGGGTGTGCCGGTCTTCTCCTCTCCGTCGGCTTCGTCTCCCTCGCTGTCGGCTGGGGGGGGGGGAGCATGCAGCATCAGCGAGGCATGTTCTCTGCTGTCTCTACGGTCATCCCTGACGGTGCTGATATTTTGTGGTTACAGCTATAACTCATACGTCATGTGTTTGCACAGCCATGTGTACAGGCGTGTCGGGGGCCTGGGCCGACTGTCCATGCACTGCATGTCTGGATCTGAGGGTACCAACCTAACTGCTAAGTCTTAAGTTTATGTTGCATGTAAATGTATGGATTTGTACTTTCTGGACCTGAATTTTCCACCTCTGACTTTACAGGATTACTTTTGTGAGTAACTTCCCCAACACTCTTTACCGGAAACACAAGGCCGCTTTTGGCTGGTGAACCAAGGGGGATAGGCCATGCCGGGGGCAAAGGTCACGGAGAGTCTCTAAGCAGCATAGACCTGCTAGCACTGAAGACGTGCTCTGTATAGCATGGATTATGGGATTGTCTTTGACAGTAACAGTGGGTTCAGCTCAAACTGACACAGCTAGAAGAGGATCTACAGTCATCAAGGTCACTGAAACAACTTCTATTTTAGATGCATCAGTGAGTGGGCAGCCCTTGGGGAAGGGCTACATGTGTTTGCGTGTGGAGGCACGTCTGAGGACTTACAGTCAAGCAGCATCTCCGCGGCGTTTAGGATCTTGGTTCGGAGCTCAGGGTCTGTAATGTTCAGCTCGTTGAGGTGGGATTCCTTCAGCTCACGGAAGTGGTCCAGATTCTCAAAGTGCATGGAGAGGAGGGGGTTGAGGTCCTTTTGGGGGTGGGGAGAATGGGGGGGGCACAGAGGGACACATGGTCAGCTGGTCCAGTATGCACCCTAAGGCTTTGTCTTTATAGAGCAGCCACAGTGACGGGACTGAGACGGGTGGGGACTGCACTCACCGTCAGGCCAATCTTCTCCAGCATCTCCATCAGGGTCTTTGGTCTGCATCGATGCTGCCTGAAGCGACTCCGCCTCTTCTGGGGTGGCGTGACCTCATCAGGAAGAATGGTGACATAGATGAACTTGAAGGAGCCCACTTTGTTGTTGAGCTTTCCAGTCCAGGTCCCCACTGGGGGCTTCTCGATGATGTCGATGATATCGCCTTTCTGCAGGGACAACGACAAAAGTGAGAAGGTCCTCATTGTACCTCAGGCTAAGCTCTTCCACACCTTGTTCTTTTTGCCTTAGTTGGGTCATTGTCAAGGATGTGAAGAAGGTAAAACCCATTCAGAATGGGCTATTTCACAAAGCAGCTCCATTACTCTGTTGCTATAGTGAAATCAGCTGAATCAGCCACTATCGTCCTGATGACCATGAGATACAGGTGGTGTTGGGCTTACCTGCAGCTTCAGGGACTCTATGTCGTAGGGGCTGGGCGTGAAGTCGGTGTGCACACGGGCACGGCCGCAGAACGGCCCAGTGTAGGTGCTGTCTTCTAGCCGCATGCTGTCTCTCTGGCTGTAGCCGCTGTCCAGGCTCTGCCTATCACCACCTACAGGGCGGCGCATGTGTGAACATGAGGTCCCCATCCGCCATTTGATCCACATTTACAGTTACAGTTACTCCCTGTGACCCAACCAAGAAATATATCATCCACTAACATCATAATGGATGAACAAAACAGGGAATGTCTGAACTAAAACTGGGTACATGAATTTAGAATTTAGAATTACTACATACACTTCCCATTAACATAAACCTTATTTAACATTGTACTGTGTATGCAGAAATACCCAGATTTACAAAAAAGCTATTATTATTAGTTTTTTTTCCCAGGATAATCTCTGAATGATGGCCAAACCTCCACCCCTCATAGTCCAGAAGTTGTTTGTCACACTTACAGCCAGACAGCTGCCGGGACAGGGCTGGGTGTGTGGAATCCTCCGACTCGCTGGAGCACATGGAAGTCCGCTGGCCGGTCAGGTCAGGGGCCCAGTCGCTGCACGGGGGGGACACGGGGCTGTCTTCACCGCTCTCCAACTGCAGCCATGCCCGCATGTTAGGGGAAAATATGACTCAAAATCTCTTACAGGCCTTTGTGGATGTTGTGACTCAACTGTACCACTAGGGGGAGATGTGCACCGTATTTCAGTTACACTCTTCTCTTGGCCTCTAACGGCCCATCAGATCATCTCTTATTGAAAGCCTCCAGTTTTATTTTGTAACATGATAACACTGTGTCAAACTATTCCTCTGCACATTATTACCCATTTTAAATATAATTTACTTTGTACTTTGATGTTGTTGACTATTTGCTTTAGGGTGCCTTCTCAGTGCCTGATCACTTAATTATTTTACGTCTTTCACATGCTGAGCACATGTTTGCTGCACACACCCCTTCCTCTGCAAGGGCCTTCTGCACCATCTTGGAGGTCTTGCGGGTCATGGTTCGGGTGATGACAGCCCGCCACTTCTTCCCCAGTTTCCCGCCGCTCTTCCCACTGTCCTCCAGGGGCATGTCCTCCACCAGCTGCAAAGATATCCATAATGAGATTAGGGGAAGTCAAAAACCTGGTAAGATTAAACAAATAATGGAAGCCTCCTTGTCGAGCCCTGCTCCATGGGCTGTACAGTACCTGCTCTTCCTAAACACCTGCTCCTCTTTCCTGCTCCTCCTATTCCTCCCATCCGCTCGTCTAATCTGCCTATGTGCCTCTTCTACTGCTTCCCCATATGACCAGTCTGACTGACTAAAGCGTTTGATCCAGAGCAAGCGTGCGAGGCACAAAAACAGACAGAGGCATTCAGTGGGGTTTCACTGGTGTTGTCAGAGTAGCACTGCACTGGCAGTGCTGCTGTTCGGCAGCCTGCTAGCCCAGTTTAAGTTGCATGCAGCCCTTGGATGGCCGTTTGTGGTGCAGCCACCCTGCTGCTTCCTGTCTGGGTGACACACATCTGAGTTTACAGATCCTGCGGCCTGGGTGGTGGTTCTTGTTATGCCAAAGGCTGCCTATGAGCTCCCTGCCAGCAAGCCTCCTGGGCCTCAGAAGCACCACGCCCCCTAGTGGAGAGATCTGGAATGTGCCCGGTATATATATGCTACATATATATCATACCTATTTGTAATATTATTATTATTATTATTGATATTGTTGTTGTTATAATGTTTGTTGTTTGATGTTCTTGTATTCTGTATTCCCCTACACTTAATTTTCTCCATCCCACCTACATTATTATTATTATTATTTCTGTATACCTTTGTTTTCTTTTTTCCTTTTTTTCTTTCTCTCCCCCTCTCCCCATGATGATTAATGTCTGTTATTGTTACGATTATTGTTCCTGTACCCCCCCCCCCTTTTTAAAAAATTTTTTTATGATCACGGTACTAGGACGGGTGAGTTCGGAGCGGCCACACTCTTTACTCTTGAATTTAATGTAAAATAAAGTTGTCCTACGAAGAGGGGGGGGTGGTGGTGGGCGATAAAAAATAAATAAAAAAAAAGAATGTGCCCGGTCGGATGTTCCCACCCCCCATACACATTCTGACTCACAGACCGGCTGGCAGCCCTCTAGCATGAACGCTGAAGTGCCTTTTATCAGGCGCACATCAGCGATAGCTGCATAGGACATCCCATTGGCCGCTGAGCGTAACGGTGCATGATGCCCTTACAGGCTGAAGCCTTTAACTTCCATGCTGCAGCGGCTTTCAGCTCCATCAGCTTGCAGGAGGATATCCTGTCTCCCTTTGCCACAACCCCTATATAGAGTCCCCCCCCCCCTGCCCCAGCTGCTTCCCCCCTGCTCACACACTGTTGCAGGAAAGGTGCATGCGGGTTCTGCAGTGCCCTGGCATCATGATACCACCTAGAATGGGGGTGTGGGGGTGTGGGGGAGGTATGAGCGAAGCAGCAGTCCCTGTTCCACGTGAACACTCACGCCAGCCGTCACTGCTATTAGGGGAAGGTGAGCCCAGTTTAACTTCCCCCTGCGTGTAAACATAGATCTGTAAAGCCGACCAGTTACAATTAGAGAAGTGTGCGGCTGTCCGGGGTGTGCTGATGGGGGGGGTGCTCTGATGG